TCTGGATAATAGTGAATGTTGTTAGAAGTAGAATTTTCCGATTACATTATAAGTTATTTCTTCAACCTTCTTAGCATGCATTCGTGGTCAACACGCTCGACACATATTTGAGAGGTCCGTGGTTCGAGTCCCGGCAAGAGCACTACTAATTTTTCATGTCTTCTTCTTTCAAAAATAAATAAATAAACAAACAAAACAAAAAAAAATCTGAAATTTTTCAGATTTTAAATTACGTCCAAAGGGGCGTTTTTTTAACGTTTTGAGTGTTACCTTTATTTATTAAATATCATGTTCTTTGCACTTAAACCATAAAATTCAGTTCAAGAGCAATATCGCAAAATAGTTTTAAAACGAGCATATCTTTAGAATTTTCGATATACACAGTCTCGCGAGCTGGAGATAAAAGTATTTTTTTTTGTCTATATAACGTTGCCATTTCTCGCTTTTAAAGCATTGAGTTTGTAATCAAAAATTCGTTAAAGTTTTACAAAATATAAAATCTATAATAAAACAAATTCCAAATTTGGGATTTCAGATGCCCATATTCGCAGTAGGATTTAGTCATTCAAAATTGGATGTCTCTAGATACCGTTGTTTTATCACAATACGAGAAATATACATACATTTATGCAGATTTTTCATTATTTAATTTCTTCAGTATAATGCAGGATTCTAACATTTTGTGGCAACAGTTTTAAAAGTGAACCAACATTTATAGGAGTCCGACGCAAAATGCCAAAACGAAAGTAATAGTCCTTCGGGACTCAAATCCCTTTGGACTAATAAACAACAAACAAATAAATAAATAATAAAATTAAAAAAAAACCTAATGCCTCTACAGAGGAGCCCGAACTAAAAAAGGTTGTGGCTGATGACTCTCCACCACCAGGATTTGGCGATATGGTCCCCTAATCCATTTAAAAGGGGAAATATTATAAGGTATTTCTCCTGCCTTCTTATCATGCCTTCGTGATGTAGTGGTCAGCATGCTCAGCGCGTATTCGAGGGGTACGTGGTTCGACTCCTGGCGAGGGCACGTCTCATTCAGAAAAAAAAAAAAAAAACAATCTCTTTACAACATACATAATTACAGTTAAATTTAATTTACAAATTATTCAAGTAAGATATTAAAAATATTAAACAATGCAATAAACCCAGATGATAAGTGGCAGAAAAAACTCAATGGTTAAGTTTGAAAATATGAACTATTTTAACCTAGCATACGACTTTTTATTGGCCATTTGCAAGTACTTTAGCGTAGAATAAATTTTGTGCAGAGTGAATGCGAGAATATCATTGCGATATGATTAGCTATGATGTTAAAGTAGGATTAATCGAGAAGAATGCATTCAACATCTACAATTAACATTTGTAAATGAAGATCCATTTCATGCGACTATATTCAGATGGTTTACAGAATTTCAAAGAGGTCACAGTTCTCTGTGAAATTCTATACGAAAAATGTTTTAATCGATGATAACTGCTGCACCTACCAAATGATACAGAAGGAACTTAACATTGGATTTGCCGCCTACGCATAATTATTCATGAAGAATTGCATATGAAAAAACTAGTTTGACATTGGGTTTCCCATAACTTAACTGAGTACCAAAAAGAGAAGTGTGTCAGAATCAGTAAGAAAACTCGATGGTGGCCACCCCATAATTTCTAAAATCATAACTGGTGACAAAACCATATATATAATTTTTTTGTTAATGTTCTAAGACATCAAGAAAGTAAAGTATGGGTCTTTGAAGATGATCCTACACCCACAATGGTGAAAAGACAACGTGCCATGAAAAAGTAATGTATGCCATTTTTATTCAGAAGTACAGGACTGGTCAAAGCCATCAAGCTGGAAGGACAGAAGATAGTCACAGTTAACTGGTACATCATTAAGTATCCTCCAGATATTCTTCAAGAACTGAATGTTAAAGGACTCATGCTCCACCTAGACAATGCATCTTTTCATTCAGCAAGATTGACAATTGAGTTTCTTGAACAAAAACACATCAAAGTGACAGAACATCCACCCTATTCACCTTATCTAGCTATGTTTGACTTTTGGTTATTTTGTAATCTGTAAAAGAATTTACGTAGATGTAGTTTACATTCCAAGTTGAAATTAATGAGGCTATAAATGCACTTTTTCATCGATTCCAATGAATGAATGGCTTGAGGCATTTAATCTTTGGAACATTTGCCTACAGAAATGCATTGATACTCCAGGAGACTACTTTGAAAAATTTTGTAAGTATAACTTTCAAAACCTATGTGTATCTCAAAAATTTCAGAGTGACCTTTGTATACTGTATACTATACTATACTTCCTCTTGTATTAATGAAAGTAGGAGATTTTGATGTTTAAAATCAATCCACAAAAGTTGAGGCAGAAATGGAAAAAAAAAAAAAAAAAAAAAAAAAAATTCCGTTCTTAAACAGCATAACATACTCTTTAAATGAATGATGTAATAACTATTTATTTTCCTAGCATTAACAGTAAACTAATTTTCCAAGTATTTATAGCATCACCACATCACCAGTCTTATGTTTCAGGCCCTTTATTATAGTTCACTAATAAGAACAAAGTGAATCCTAGAAGCAAATGTAAAGAGAAGTTTCAAACCAAGAATGAGTACAGAAACCAAAATAAGTTAAACACTTTCTATCTGGCGACAGCCGAAATTTTCTACCAAATTATTTTTGACCATCAGGTTTAGATACAAGTTCAAAATCTGATGGGTTTTTTATACCCCAAGAATACAACTAAGATCTTGCAATAAACATTTCCGTATCCTGATATTTAGTTACGGTGGTTCCATTATGATCATGCAATGTATGGGTATTGGGCTGTCCCATTTCGGCCAAATTACAGATTGTTGTTACATCAGTGAATTTCAAAAGTTAAAGCAGTTCCCCCTCTGCTACTCTAAGCCACTGACAAGTGAAACTGCGGATATGGAGACAGACTTGTAAATCCACTTATTAATGTTTAAAATTGCACAAGGACTTCATAAGCATATTAAATTCCCTTGAGCAGTCAAGTTAAATCAGGGACGATAACACATTTTTTCTTTTGGATCACTTTTCCGTTATCTTTCAAAAAATTTTTATACCTTCATGTGAACAGTTTGAATATTTTGTCCAGCATTCCTATTTGTTTCCAGCAGCAATTACAAAAATTATAAAAATAGGCAAATAATCATAAATAAATCCATCTTAAAATTGAAGTTTTCTGGCATTGATTTCAGTATTTAAATGTCTTTTCAGAATAATAGTAAAAAGTAATCCAAGTTGAAGTAGTATCTTCAAAATCAGTTCCTTTAAAATTTCTTACTCAACTGATATTATCTACATTTGTCTTTATTATCATTTAAAGAACCTGATTGTCAGAATTACTCACAGAAAATTCAGCTTCTCTCTCCCATTTGAAGTCCAAATTACCATCAGCAAGCTACATGAACTTGGTATTATAAATTGCTTAATTTTTTCTACTTTCATTACAATAGAAATTTTATTTTCTAATAACAATAAATTACATACAAAGCACATATTTTGAAAGCTAAAACTTTAAAAAGATGCATTAAAATATTTACCAGAAAAAATTACCATATTGAATATTTGTGTCATATAAAGGCTACAGCCAAGGTGTAAATAAAACATGTATTTCCTCTGCAGAACTGTTACTTAGAGCAAAATAAGATAATGATACAATCATAAACACATGGTGAGCACATAGCGCAATAAGCAACCTTGAAATATCAAAACTGGGAGTCTCCACACTGCACAATGACGTCATTTCAAAACAACTTGAAATTAATTTAAATTTTCTTTATAATGCATAATTTAGGCTATTGCACTATTTATGATGTGATTCTGATGTTATATACATTAATATTTAGTTAGTTATTCTAAGTTTTATGTTCTGATTGGTTAATTTTCAATTAGTAATTTTCTTACACTTTTAGAAAATAATCCTGAATAGGAAAGGAAAGCTTTCATTTTCTGAAGTACTTTTAAAATGATGAAAATAAAATTAAATACAATATTATTTGATTAAACATTAGTTGAATCTTTGCCCTACAAATCTCTACTGAAGATGAATAAATTTCATATACTACTGGAAAACATTTATCTTAGTAAAGATTAAAAACTAAAAAACAGAAGATTCAATTATCTGCTGAGGGACGAAAATGTGATGAAAAGCCCCCACAGCTTTGACAAAGCCTCAAAGTATTATAGGGTGCAAGTGTAATTAGTTGGCTGGCAATAAGCAGAGAGTGAGACTGTGGAATTAGAATATCCAAAGTTTCCAGTGAAGTGGTATGGTCCACATGTTTTGTTATTTAAGATTCTGTTTGCGTTTCAGAAATAAACAACTTGTTAATTAAAATGGCTACTATTTCTAAAAGATACAATACACAAAATTAGCCCTTTTCTCATTCCAAAAAATACAATAAGCAAAATCAGTCCATGTCAATTTCTTAAGTGACTAGAAATTGCATTTCAAGCTGAACTCCAATACAAAAGAAATATGAAAAAATGAACAATTAGAATACATTCAAGAGCAATTAAATTAGTTAATAATTGTGAAACATTACCCAATTCAGTCGTGTTTTTGTTATGGCAAATATGCGAGAGCTATCAATCATCCTAAGAAAGAATACTTTTGTAAATAATTTTCTAAGGGAAAGCTAGAAACGAGAAAGATGCCACCATCCAACCAGCCCACTGCAATTGTCATTTATTGGATTGCTGAAACAGCAATGAATATATATGCTCAAAATATTAACTCAGGCATCACCGGTAATAGTTACAAGGCAATGTACAATTTTTTATTCCTCTAATTCTACACATTTTACTAGGTTCATGTATCGCTATCATTTTGTTTTATTTTATTTTCAGTGTTACTGTTCTAATATGCAATGCATACCTTTCACTAAGCTAATATTAAAATGTGGCTATTTACTTAATTTTTGAAAGACACATAACTCAATCTATAAATTTTTATACTATTGTTTATTCACACAATCTGTACACAAATGATTTAAAAAAAAGTATTTAAATAGCACAAATTGAACAGTTTCTTTTAAAAGTATACAGTTTGTACAATAACTGAAGGGAAAATCCAACATTTGCACTATTAATTTCTACATGATAATAATAATAACAACAATAATAATCTGACTCAAACAGATTATCTCTCGGCTTAGTTAAGAAGCATAATTGGCACAAATAAAAATTTAACACATGGCAAGAAAAAAGCTCATAATTAGCTTCATCAAACACATAAGCACTAAAGGATATTCTGATCTGAGTTTATGCATAAATAATTTAAAAATTGTGCAAACTATTTCAGACATTCTTGAACAACTTGAATTAAGCCAGTACTTTAAAACCAATTAATAAATGCATACAAAAATTATTATGGAAATAACTGCTATTATACAGGAAATTGTTCTAGATGAAGTTAGTTCTTTTTACACTGACGTTCAATAAACTGACTACATTATACACTCCACTGACATCACATTTACAACTACTTCAGTACAATACACAATACATGGAAAACAATAAATTTTGTATCATTAATATAACTCTCATGACTTATATCGGATAAAAGCACTGCATGTGTTTTTAAATAAATTGATTTTCCATAATTAAATAATTGTACGTATTGGAAACCCTTCCATGCTTTCTATTAAAATAGTAACAATATGATTTATCGAAGATCTTGGATGATGCCTGTTTATTTCATAGGAGGCTAATTAAATGTGATTTTAAAATCTTGATAATAAATTAATTAGAAATAGCAGAAAATTTCATATTTCATCTTACAATATTTTTATAATAAAAGCATGAGTATGCATGATATTTCATGTTTCCCTTTTAAACTCAGTTTTCAAATATTCCAAGATTGTAATTCAAAGTTTTATATGCTTTCAAATAATAAAAACCAGTCACTGCAAGATTATTGCTGGATTAAGATTTTAAATAATCTTTGTATGAAGATGACTACAGAAACATCAAAATATATACAAATTTAATCAATAATGATATTTTATTTAACCTAGCTACAAGCCAATAGTTAACCATCACTAATGAATTCAACTGTAAAGCTACATTAAAATGTAAAAAAATATTGAATTATTAATCAGGTTTTAATTTTGACCCTTCTTCCCTCCTCCCAAGTTATAAACTACAAAACATGAAAAATGAGTGATTTATTTATTTAAATATTAAAAATCTGCTACAGGCTCATGTACTAATTACATAACTAAATAATTTGAATTTTATTTATTTATAGCTTTATTATTCTCCACAATATGAAAAATCAAATTGAAAACTTATTACATAAACCCTTGGAATTTCAGTAAATTTAACAATATTACATGAGCTGCTTTAAGCTGCATTATAAGATATTACAGAACATAATTTATCCATATATGAAATCTGCAGCTGAACTGAGTATTTCACATGAATATATACATCTATAAATTAATAGAAAATGAAAGAATAAACATCAATACAATTATAATAAATTTAATATAATCAAGCTATGATCTTTTACTCCAAACATATGTAGTCCACAATTTTAATATTATCTTTAACTAAAATAGCATGGTCTTAAAAACTGTTATTTTTTCAAATAGTATATAAAACTTTCTATTAACAAACAAACAAACAAACAAAAACTTTTAATGTTGTTGGCATTTCATAGCATGCACAGGTAAAACATAAATTATTAGATTTGATTGTATATAACACGTTATAACCAATTTGCATAAAATCTGTTGCAATTTTTTAAGACTGTACAACAGTTGAACAGCAATGTTATTTTGATTACAAAGGATTAAAAATACCTTCAACATTGAATAAATTTAAACAGAAGATTATACACTTTTAGACTTTTTTCTCAACAACAAAACAAACTCAAACAATAAAAAGACATATCTCACACAATTCAACTTACATGTTAGCTATTAAAAAATATATATTAATAAAAATGGAAAATCCCAGACATGGCAAAAAAAGTACTAAAATTTTAATTTTTCTGAAAGGCATATATTTTATTACAGAATTTTATTAGCTTCAAATTTAGCATGAAGTTAATTCAAGTTCTAAATAAAAAAAAATCAGGAAATAATGGAAAATGTGATAATGCAAGATAGTACAAAAAAATTAATTCCTTTTTATATACAGATATCACTCTTTTCTTACTGAACCAAACTTTAGTCTTTTTAATAAAATTAAATTTTACTTGACAAAAGAAAGTAAAACATTATGTATGAAGAGAGAAGGAAAATAATATATATCAGATGGGTTTTATAAAATGTTCTTTTTCATTTTTAGTAACTTTCAAGCTGCAAAATTCATACTCCATATCTTGTCACCTGCACTGTTCACTATGGCACTAAAAGTTCCAAGTTTTTACTACAAATTTTGTAAGTGAATAGTTACACAAAACACACAAAAACATGCACAACAAATCTTTTTAAGTTAATGAAATTTCTTGTAGAATGAAATGTGCTATATTATACCATAAATCTCTATGATCTAGATTCAATCTCTGTACATATTTACAAATGTGTCGAAAACACAGTTCAGACCTCATGATGTAACCCCCTCTTTTCATATATATTGTACCACTAAATCAACTAGCTACACTACTTTAGTATTCAATTTTAAGACAATAAATACATCAAAACATATTTCCAGATGAGTGATGAATTAAAAAGAATCTGATGTTTAATTTAAAATGACTTTCATGCTTTAAAATGATTTGTATACGTATAACCGAATGCAAAATTGTTTTCATTTAGAAAATCACCTACTGTATAAATTTATGATTTAAAAAAGGGGGGGCCAAAAGCTAAAGCTTTTGACAAACAGATACTCATTTTCTTAACTGAAACTTAAATAAATCCAATTTAAACTTGACACTTGTTACCTTTATTTTCATATTATTTCCTCATTGTACCCCAGTATATTTTAAGATGGCTACTTGAAGTCTACTCACGACAATTTTACCAGCACTCACAACATTTACACACAATATCTATTTAACATATCTACACTAATATACATACAGAAAATCTTTAGCTGCTTCAGAATATTTACAAATACACAAAACCTGATAAAATGCCTGAACTGTGTTTACAAATGAATCTATATGATGATGTTTTGACTATGCATAATACATTTTCTTAAAATAAATGTACACAATATGAAAATCGAGCACTTTCACTATGTATCGATAGACACGACACTGGTAATACCTGTACAACTTTTACTAGACCATGTGCACTGGAAGTATTGTTACAGAATGACACCTATTATTGTTGGATAGCTCCTGTACTTCATCACCAGCGATGGAAAAACTCCCACTGTCATTAGGAATATCTGTAAAATATTAAAACGAATAAAAAAATTATATTTTTACTTAACAGTATTAGTAATAAAAGTTACTTTTAACCTCATATACAATTCGCTGCAATTATATAATAATTTTTAGAATGCTTTTTTCTAATAAAAAAAAATCAGCTGATGTATACTTTTTTGCAATATTCTATATATTTTAAATTAAATTATGCTGTGTGCATATATAACTAAATTTCTTTTATGTTTTGAAAGGTTGTTTGGCATTCAGGTGTCTATTTATATGGAGTACCTTTTTTAAGTAAATTTGTTAGAGGGACTCTAATTCTTGTGAAATTTGGAATAAATTGACGATACATATTAATACTTAAAAAGAAATCTTGGTAATTCTTTTAACATTTTCACAGAAGGGTTGTAATTTTTAAATAACTTCAATATTTGCACTACTGGGCTGATATCTTCCTGTATGAACTTTCAGATATTAGAAAATTTATTTTTTCTTTAGCAAAGTGGTATTATGTTTTAATTTTACATTTTCTTTTTCACATACATCGAACATTATTTTAGGAAAATATTATAATCTCATCAAAATAATTTTAAGCAAACTGAATTTGATATTTATTTAAAATTTATCTAACGGCTCTTTGAAAAACAGCTAGGGAATTTTTCCTACCAAAAGGTAATCCACTGAATTCGTTAAGAACAAAATTAGTAAATTGCTGATTTCTAAGTACCTTTATATACCAATAACCAGATGCCATGTCTAAAATAGAAAATACTTTTGCATTTAGTACTGCATCTATTCTAGGAATGGATTCAGATTCTGCTAATAGTTTTCTATGATCAATACCTAATCTGGTTTTTGCATTTTCATCTCTTTAATAAGCTGAAGTTACAGGGGCAGCATAATGGCTAAATTATGGTTTTGTAACATTACATTAATAACTTGCTCTAATCGTTTTTTTAAAATTTTAGTATTATCTTCAAGAGATGCTCTATATAAGGGGTGGCCAAAGTGTGGCTCGCGAGCCTGATATGGCTCTCGCAGGCAATTTGTGCAGGTCGTGGATATAAAATATATGTATGAAATACGGTAAACTAAAACTATTTCGTGTCCAAAAAGAAGTAATTAATTAGTTTAGACTCTTTTTACAAAGTTATCATGGATTTTTTTTTATGGCATTACTCTGGTAAACCCTGGGTGAGGGAATCAATTAAGAATTTGATCACTTAAATGCAAGGCAGAGCCTAATTTTAGTTTTTGGCGGAAATACTTACCAGTGCTTTTGAATTTATTGTAAGTGGAGAAAAATCATCAAAGTTTACATGTTTTTCTCTGAGAAATTTCTGTTTTAATAACTTCCAACTAGCTATCTTGATACATTTGCAAATATAGAATGATGATGCTTTACCTTTTAAGAAATCGGGAAATACAGCTAATTTTTTTTTTTATGAAAAATTTTTTTAACTACATAATTTTTTGAAAAAATGACAAATATTTGTCAATGGGTTAGTCATCTGTAGTATCAAATACTGGACATGTACACTTACTTTTATCTACAGAAAAAATATTGAATTACTGTTTGACCATTTTTAAGGCTTTTGCTTGAGATCATGTTTCTACGTAGAATTTTATCGAAACTCAATAATTTTTCCCTCAAATATATGAGAACAGCATTAAAAAATAAATCATAAAATACTAAAATTACTAAATTTTAATTTAAATTTATTTAAAACAAAATATTATATCAATAAAAATCATATAAACTTACTTCAAAAAATGAAAAAAATAAATAAATAAATAAAAAATAAGTATACATTATTAGCAAAATACTGAAGTGTAAACAGCAAAACCTTTTATCAGCAAAATCAGAATCATTTTTGATTTAAAAATTTGATGTAAACTTTAATAAACATATTTCCAAATTCTTTATGGAGTCGTACTGTAGATGAATATCACCATAAATCAAAACATGAAAAAAGAAAATGGATGAACATTAATTTTTAGCAGGCATTTAATAATTTTTTCAAAAATGACAATGATGTTGAATTTAATGCTAATGCTGGATAATCAGTAATTATTTAGAGAACAACCCCCTTTCTTTCCTCACTTCCTATACACTGATTTGAATTAGGAAAAGTTTTCAATGACACCTCAAGTGGCATACAGAAAAGGTTTACTTTTTAAAAAAAATTTTATTTTGGCAATACTTCCAGACGGCATGCACAGGAAAACAATCCATGTCAACTAAAATATGTAATGATCTCGATGGTATGATAAGTAAAGAGGAACTAGCAATCACGGCTGGGATGACTGGGATGGTGGTAGCAGACAGCTAAACTCAATGGTGTAGTAGATACTGGAACCTTTTTGAAGAATCACAAAAACACTTTATAATCCGAACAACTCTTTTATTACCTGTTGATTCTTATGAACATATCTTACTGCATAACATGGCACAGCATAATGGGGTAATTTGCATCCCACAATTTTAAACTAAGCATTTAATTTTAAAGAATAGAGAAAATACAGCTTAGCAAAGAGACGTTATTTAACCCATGACCGGCTTTTTCCGGTCATCAGAAGTTTTGCTACTTGGCATATATTAGCTTTTAATTTAAGATATTTTGCTTTCTTACTTTCTTTAATAATGTAAATATCATCCTAATGAATGTAACTTTATGAAAATACAGACTAAAATAAGTAATTATACAAACTGTTTAAATGCGGTCTTCATGACGGATCATAAAATCCTGTGTCGCTCAGAGGGTTAACAGAACAGTGCAAGCAGCGACAAAGGATATGCACTATATTTATAGCTCAGAAATTCTTTGTTTTGAGCTCTAAATAGTGAAGGGACAAGAGTTTTCTCAATGCAGATGATTGCAGATAAATGACGCAAAGCAAAACGTGATGTACTTAAGTTAAAATTAATAATTTACAGGTCTATATGTGCATTTGTCTTTCCTATTTTATGTTTTACATGTGTGTGTGTGTGTGTGTGTGTGTGGCACAAGTTAATAATTCCTTTATTAGTTCACACAACATAAATTGTTTCCCACATAATAAACTCACCTTTCGGTAATCTCAGAAACCTTGGGGAATCACCACTCCAATTGCTTACAGATGCTAGAGTTATGCTACGAGGAAATGTAGAAAATCCAGAATCTCTCTCGGTAGCTTCACTATCAGTACGAAGCAATGATGCCCTGGGAGGATCACAATGACAGTGGCTTGCAGGAGCTTCTCCGAGCTGCTCCGCAGAATAAGAGCGCTGAGTCACGTCGGACGGCCATTTTCCTGATCTACAGTGAGGCAGCATACAGTGGACACTATTTAATACAGGCCACTTAGGATTGCACCCTGATTTATTCTGCTGCAAAGGAGCATTGCTACTAGTCCTAAAAGATTCTAATAATGGTACTTGCTCCTTTGACACTGAGTTATTAACAGAACTGTAAGGTTCTTCAATAGGTTGACTTCCAACAACACTGCCTTGGAGTGTTCGAAGGCTGCCCATCAGTGGAACTAAAAAATAAATAAAATAAAACTTTCATATTTATTTAATTGGGTAATACACAAGGTTTTATTTACAATAATTTCATTTTGCTGATTGAAGTGAAGATGAAATTTAATACAGGCGATCCTCGATTTTTGAATATTTTTAAAAGAATTTTGTCAAGATTGCAAAAATTGTTTGCTTCAATGCAGTCAGTCTCAGGCAGCAGAGTAGCTAATGCTCACTCGCACACTGCCTCTTAGAGTAACAGACTTCTTGGAATTATCATGACATCAATCATGATCTCGGCTCGCAACTGTGAGGGCCAAGTATATGATATGGTATGTATTAAATAGGTTTAGTCTTGCATTAAAACATGTCCCAATGTGTTGCTTCACCAATGTATTTGTTTATGTTTAAATACTTTACCCTTATAAATTTATAAACATCAGAAAAAGAGAAACTGCTGTATTGATGCAAACCAATATATATATATATATAAAATAAAGATTCAAAAACTTTAAATAAGCTAGACAAACATGGAAAAAATTAAACGGTGAATCTTTTGTTTCAATTGCCCATTCATATGACATAACCAGGTTTACAATATGTTCAGTTTTGAAAGACAAGAATAAAATTAAGGAATACATTCAAAATTATGGAAATATAATTTCAAAAACTGTTCCCAAAAAGAGATAGCATAGTGTTGAATGAAAAGGAATGATCTTTTCATCCTAGCATCTTTACCACTCGGCCGCTGGTGGGCACAAGTGATGAAGAAGAAGCTGGTAAAATAATCCAGACTTTGACAAATTAAAAATATGAAAAACGCCTTCGTGCATCTTGACAAATCTTTGACTACCATGGAAAAATGTGATCCCAATGGAGAACACATATTTCAAGTAACCTATGGCAACTGAGAAAGAACAGCATGTTTTTCTTCATGGTTGTTGAAAGAAGCAATGAGCTAATCTCTCACGCATGGCTCGCTAATTTAATGTAAGAAATACTAATTCTATTTTTTGGCCCTACCACATTGTAACGAAAATTATTCCGGACAAAAAAGTCCTTGTAAAAGTACTTCACGTTGAAAATATGCAAGTGAAGTGCTTTGCAGAGAGTTTTTTTAAGAGGAAATTTTAAAAGGAAATTTTATGATACACATATAAAATACTAGGCTTAAGAAAGGTTCTAGATCGAGAGGAACAGATGGTACTGGGGAGAGAACTTTTTATCAAGAAAGGGAAAAAAGGGATGGTATTCCACTACTTTTGATAAGTTTATAAAGAAAAACATCAGAAAATGTTTTAACATGACTCATTAACTTTAATGTGTATATTGAATATCATCAATAAATAAATATTTAAAAATACAGTTTTTAATTTTTTTAAACATCCCTCTACTTTTGAACATTTAATATACATTTTTAGGAATGTATTTATGTGCAAAAGTTGGGAGTTCACCATATAAGATTACTTTTTAATAAAGCAGTAAATTCTTTCATGTCAATCAGTACATAAACATTAAGTTATAATTTGTTTAGATTTTTCTCTTTAGAAATGATGACAGTATTCATATCAGGATATGTTACTGTTTGCGAACTAAATATAATAAAAAATCGATTTTTTTAACTAGCATTTGAGCTTTCATCAGCCAAATAGACACAGAGTTTACAAATTTCATCGTTCAGTCTGAAACAAAATTCTATCACATTTAAATTATTCTATGAACTGCATTTTTAATTTAATTAAATATCTAATACTTCATCTTTCTAAATGGAATATTCTTGTGCCTTTTTACTGCTTCTAGCAAAACTAGAAATACTATCAAAATGTAAAAAAATTCCACTTTTTTTTATGAATGATGCATAATATGTATTTTACAGCTGCCTCTTATTCACTTGCTTGTCAACAAAAAATTTTTTATTACCCAAAGAGAATGACAGGTACTAAAACAGCTGAGGTTAAGTAAGCAAGCAAAGTTATTTTAAACAATAAAATCATAAGTAAGCAAAGTTGTTTCAAACAATAAAATCAAATTTTTCAAGCTAACACAATAAAATTTAAATTGCTTTAATTTACTTATAATCAAACTTACATCCTCCAAACTTTGAAGATGGCCTAGCTGCTATCAACAAACCATGGTCATCCTCCAATAACAAATTATCACTACTTTGCTGACCACTGTCCCCAGTGCCACTATCTTTTGAATGGCCTGAAAAATATTCAAAATTAAAAAAAAAAAAAAAAAAAATTAATCTAGTAAAACATTTCATTACTTAATAAAAATTTAACACTGGAAAGAAATCAATATAAAATTCATTAAGTTTTAATACATTTACTTCAATTTTTATTATCATATACTGAACCACAAGTAATTTTGATGGCAGTTTTGAAAGAAGTATCTCATATGGTAATTTACAGAAAAACACAATTAAAAATTTGCTTGCATTTTTTATGAGTTTAATCCAGGGAATAAGTTCAGTGGATTACATTAATTAAAACAGTATAAAAAATAAAAATGGAAATAAGAATAATATCAAGAAAGTAAATTATAAATGGCATTTAATAAAAATATTAACAATGAAACTTGAAAAATGTCACAGAATTCAAAACTGAACTTAAAAAGGGTGATCAGTTTTAACAAAGTCCCCCCCCCCCCGTAGTTTTTCTTTTTTTTATATTCATTACTTTAACTTGTGAAGTAATATCTAGTCTCTCAGCAGGCTGTCACCTTGGTTTAGACAAGGCACAGGTAATCCACCCCTAGGAAACTGGGAGTTTTGTTTGAAATTGTATTTCATTACTTAAATATTTTGTTCTTGTGCTTTCTTTAACAATCTAATTACCATCCTAATGAATGGATGGCTAAGAAAACGAAGTAATCTAGCAAATAAATGATTTTTAAACACAGCTCTTTGTAAGCATATCCAGTGCCCCTCAGAAGATTACATGAAAACTGATGCCCCTACTTTTAATTTCAAATGCTATCTTTTATTTTAAAATATACACAGTCACTTGTTAATGAAATTTTCATTAAGTTAACAAATTTAAGTACTTTAGAAATATAATAAAATATAGTTCTCTATAGTATACAGAAATATAGAACTTTATAGAATATAGAATGGGACAAATTATCTCTTTGAAAACCAAAGCCTTACTTAACCTCTGTATGTTAAAATACTGAAATGGTTTTCAAGAGTCACAGCAATTTCCTCCCCTCCCCATCCATTAACACACAAAGAAGAGTGAAGATTTCAAAAAACATTCTTTCTACTTCTAACAAATAAAGATAAGAAACCACAAATAAATCCTTTTAGGACAAGCTGTCTGCAATAAACTGATACAATTTATTTGGGGGAAATACACTGCTACTGCGTACCTTAGGGGAGCGAACAAAACATCCAAATTTCAGCTGGTTGTGGTTGTTTGAATGAAAGGCTGTCTGGGGGTCTTCAAAGAGTTAGAATTCATATTAGCACCTGTCTGACAAATTGCAAACAGTATAATGTAATCATCATCAAATTGACACTTTTACAACTGCTTCGAATTCAAACACATTCAATACCTAAATTCATCCTACATTTAAATAAACAAACAACCCTAAAAAATACAAAAATTACATTTCTCTTCCGAACATAAAGTTCACGCTCCATTCATCTTCAGTCCCACAGCAGCACTGGCAGTGAACCTGGTTTCTTCTCACAGCAAGTATTTTGTTGTTACTAATCTCCATGTCTAGGAATATATTAGACGAGGTCCACGAGTCCATTCACCTTCAGAAAATCGAAAACAAGCTTAGGAGACTTGTAAAGGTCCTCAAGAGACAACTCCAGGCACTCAAATATATGTGCCGGTAATGCCGGTGCATTTTGACATTTAGAACAAATTGGGTGCACCTTGAGACCTCTCTCAAAATAAGGTCCTTTCAGGTGTCCGCTGAAGAATCGGGAAAGTGTTGTCTGAACGTCTGTCATTTCATTCCCCCATATGTCAACATGGGAAGGAATCCACTGAAGGTGTACTTCACACAGTGACGAGACCTGCTTAAGCTTGCTAAGAGTTGCAGTTCCGCCCCTATCACCAACTCTTCGCCAGTTTGAAAGATATTGGATTGTGCTATGACTGTCAGACAAAAACCATACTGCCTTAAGATCTGTAAAGGACGAAACAGCGTTTAGTCCTATTTTGTTAAAAGAAAAAGCGACCAGAATCAAGCTCAGTCAAAAACAGTGGCCTAAAACCCTAACGAAATTAATCTGCCATCATCTTTAATACCTTTTCAGGAGATTTCATTCGTTGTCAAAGGAATTTAAAAGCATCTGTTTTATGGTAAGGGTTAACAGCTTTGCCACTGAAAGTGACTTCAGTTGTAAGCTAGTACAACCTACAAAGTTTGAACCTACAAAAAGCACTTCAGTCGAATTCAAACAAGTAGGGGGTCTAACTCTGCAATTACATGAATTTTTGTTAAACAAGACTAAGGGTTACAAAACATATGTATTAAGAAAAGAAGCATGTAATAAAGAATGCAGCTTTCATACATAACAAACAAAATAACACAAAAATAAATGTGCTACATAAAGGGGGATTTATTTAAATGCCAGTGGTTTCATAAAATTCAACAAACTCATCTAGACTTGATTCATATAACTGGGTGGAGGGATCCAGCATATCAAACTCTTTCTCACCTTTTTCGTGCCAAAGAATGAAGCAGCGAGGGCCCTGAGTATATGCAGAACAACTATAATATTTGTGAATGCGATATGTGCAGTATTTCAAGAGGGATGTGGAATATATTGAGGGATATTATGGATATTTAGCATAAATTGCTATGCTTTGATGTATATTATTCTCTAAGATTAGTTCTAATGTGTAGGTAGATGAATGCTTTGTTTGTCAGCATTTACAGAATTACTGACAATTTTATATGAAATTTAATTGAAAGCATAAATGTGAAACATAAAATAAACTCCTTATTTTATGTTTCACATTTATGCCATGTAACTTTCAGTATATTTAAGTCAGGATGTTACTGTAAGACCACATCTTAGATGCAAATATGTACTCATAAATGTCTATCGAAAAAGTCGTAAACTTAAAACTCACCAGAATGCGTATCCAAAAATACATTGCGACCACACTGTTTCTTTAAGTCTTTAGGACACATCCCTGAGCACGTACTGTATGGCACCAGATCAGAAGACCGATCAGATGAATTTGTTGGAACTTGAGAAAACCTCTCATCTTCATGAGGTATGTGAGGATCTCTTTTCCTGGTATTATATATAAAAATCACCCACACAATGGATGTTCCAACAATACATATCACCACTGCAATAACAATGATTCCTGTTGTGCTGTGATTTTCATCATTAACACTCTGTGAGCTACCTCCATTTACTGCAAATATAAGTACATATTAAATAATTAATATAAGAATTAACATTTGAAACAATTTATTCAACTTACAATATATCTTAATTATTTAATAGCTGAAAAAGATTTAATTCATTCACATACTATATATTTCTGGTCTTAATAAGCTTTTATCTTCATCTTACCATTCATTCTATACTTAAAAATTTAGTTCTTTTCTATTAAAAACATAACTCATGAATTTTCTTGGCGCTCAACACTGCCAATTAGGCTTGGTTTCTTTCCTGGTGATAACTGCATTTACAACCAGCACTCATGCAACAATGTTTTTCATATAATCGTATCTCCTCACTCTCTGCATCAGATTTCACTCTTTAGGATTTGGAATATTTTCAGTAAACCCTTATTACTTTCTTATCCAGACAGTATGTGTTAACACCAATCTATTGGTCAAATGTGGAATATGCAAAATGGTTCAATAAAACTCAAGACACTATTCAGGGACATTTCAAATATGATTTAACTCAAATTATGTAGCATTGCACGCATTCCGAAAAATATCCCCTATGCCATTTGTTATGTTTTATCTGCTTTATGTCATATCTGCCATTCAGTATGATAAGATTCTTTTTTAATGTGTAGAGACATTAGGTATTTTTTGAAAGCAAGAGAGATAAAAAATTAGCAATCGCTTTCACCGGGAATCGAATCACGGACCTCTGAAATACCGGCTCAGTGTGCTGACCACTACACCACGAAGGCACGCTAGGAAGGTGGGAGAAATACCTTATATACTTCCCCTTTTAAAGAGTGACTGGGGTTTTTAGGGGACCCAATCGCCAAATCCTGGGTGTGGAGATTCATCATTCACGACCCTTTTTAGTTCGGGCGCCACTGTACAGACATTAGGTATTTTTTGGAAGCAAGAGAGATGAAAAACTATCACCTTCACCAGGAATCGAACCATGGACCTCTGAAATACCGGCTAAGTGTGCTGACCACTACACCACAAAAGCATGCTAGAAAGGTGGAAGAAATACCTTATAAATGAACCATTACATGATTCTTTTTTAATAATAGGCTTATTTATTACAGTTATTTTTTATTTCAGTTTCGTGAGTTTATTTTTACAGTATTATTTTATTTTTCCTTCATACAGTTTTAACTCTTCATTGACCAACAGCCTATTAATTGGCTTTTTGTTGCCAACGCTTACCAACCAACAGCCTGTTAATCGGTTTTTTGTCCCAGGTGCTCTTAATCGGTTGCTGTGGAGATAAAGAGTCATTTGTTATTTAACTTGAGGTACAGCCAGTTACACTGCTCTGTAAGCTCCCACATTTTTATATCATTCTGACAAATTATCGTTCACGGTGAATGAAATAAAATAGTATTGTAGAGTTCAGACTGTACTGACAGTTATTCCGAAAGTGATAGTGGTTACAAAAGTCAGCGATATAGTAATTTGGAAGGAAGGTTCTGCATTGCCATTCAGATTTAGTGATTCAAAAGATGATGAGATAAGTAATATCGAATATGATGCAAATAACATAGAACATAATGACAATGTACAGTTGACAAATGACAAAGTAATAATTTTGGAACCTTTTGAATGCAGCCCAGAATAAAAATTATGCCAAGTTCTTTATAAAGCATAATCGATAGTGTCAATTAATTCACTGGAAATGACTTTTTCGAGTACTTAGTGAGGGAATCCAATAGATTATCATCACGTCACAGAAAAATATAAAATTCTATCAAGAGCGAAAAAATGGATAGATATAACAGTACTTGGAAATGAAGAAGTTTTTAGGGATAATAGTTCTAATGGGATGAGTAAAAAAGGACCTTCTCTATGACTACTGGTCCATTGATTGAAGTAAAGAAACTCAGTTCCTTTCACAAGTAATGAGCAGGAAGAGATTAGTGCAAATAATGCAGAGCTGGGATTTTTGCAACAATGAGAACATTTCTAAGAATTTACACAAGTTTCCTAAAATCCAGCCTGTCATTGACTTTTTAAAGAAAAAATTTAATGATGTATACAAATCCTGTCAGCAATAATCTTTGGATGACTGTATAATTCCATGGAGAGGTAAACTTTCGATTAAAACATATAATCTCTCATCACAAGATACATATGTAACTTTTATGTGTGTGCTGTTGATGGCAAAAAGTTAGAAGACACTGTTTTAACAGTTATTAAATCTATAATATAATAGCATATGGCACCAGATGTATCAAGATAATTACTGTAAGTGTCAATATGGCTAAAATACTTCTGAAAAATAAAGTGTGCAGAGTCATTAGAAAAAACAGAGGTCTTCCTGGATCACTCCAAACAACACACAACTTTCAAGACGTCAGCATGAATTTTACAGGAATCATCGAATTTTGTTATATGTATGAAATAACGGAAGAAGAAACATCAATATCATCTCAACTATACGTTCTGCACAATTAACAGAATCTAGGAATAGAAGTAAAAGATCAGACAGCCCAATGCAAAATCCTAATGCAACTATAAATTACAACAAATTTACGAAGGGTGCAGCTCATGCAGACCAATATCTATCGTATCATTCTATTTTTAGAGGTGGTGGGGAATTAAACAAGTTATAATTTTTTTATCAACTGTGCACTTTTCAATTTATTTAAAGCACACACAGTTCTAAACAGAAAATATATTACGTACAAGAATTCCCTGCACAAATTTGCAGTTTCGTGAATATAACACTGAAACTAATTGTATGGAACAAGATGATCTACCTAATTCTGAACTCGCAAGGAGAATACCCATATTAGACCATCATGGAAGACTGTCTGATTTCAGAAAACAAAAACTAATAAATATAGTGACTCCAAAGACACTAGCAGAGTTTTAATGGGTTAGACAACTTTTAAATCACTCATAATTCTACAACTATTGCATGCAGATTACCTAAAGGCATAAAAACTTTAATCAGTAGATAAGAACAACATAATTCAATCATTTTGAAAGCAAAAAATGCACAATTTACCTACACATAAGAATATGTGTGTGTAATATACATATTTATATACTTTTGGTGCAGCCGATTACAATCAAAAAGGGAGATGTACAACTACATGTTATAGCAGTCTTATATACATAATTTTAACGTTCTGACACTACTCATTTTTGAGTTCTGCGAGATGCTTACCATATGTACGTTTCACAGGAATAGGTGCCATTTTTGCAACCCATTTTGGGGAAAAAAGTCCTTTATTCTGTTCTTACATACAAATGCCATGCAAAAACATAGTTAAATTGTATTCAATAGTGGTAAAAATGGATATTTTTATTGACATACGATACATAAAAATTTTCACAATTACAATAACAATACTTCCTTTACTTTGTACAAGGAAATAAAATATGATGCAATGTTTTAATTGGTCTGCAACAAAAAACTGGATTGGGGGGGGGGAACCACTCTAACTCAGTCGAAAAAAGGGGAAGGGAAAAAATCACATTTTTCTCATCCCAATTCTGCCTGCAAGTCCAGAACAGACTCCACAGTTAATGCAGCACTCATGGTAAAGCAGTTACAGGTTGCATTATCAGCTGTGTATCTATGGGTGCTAGCTAATATCCAAGTACAAAATTTTATCTCAAAATATTTTAGTGTATATATATTGTATGCTGACCTGGTGAAACTTTTAAATGACTAGATCCACGTTTTGTTCCCACAGTATTTGACATTTCACAGGAATAGGTGCCACTGTCAGATATTTGTGACTGTACAATTATTAAGAGCTGATTTTCTGCAGTAAAGAAATGACGTTCTGTAACATACAGAGGACCACCATCTTTAGTCCACGTCAATTTTGGTTTCGGACTACCAGCTGCCATGCATTCAAGAACTGTTGTTTCACCAGCTCTGGTTTCTTTGTCTTCCATCTTTTTCACAAATGATGGAGTTTCTAAAAATAGAATATATTTCATCGTTTAGCACATGTGAAATAATTTGATGGCAAAAAAGTGCTTGGTTGAGATATTGTTCACAACATATTTGTTAATAGTTCATTTTTTACATACATATTTGTTAATAGTTCATTTTAAACCTACAGTTTCAGGGCTAAAATTTGTTTGCTTCCCTCCTTATTAATATTAAGTAATAAATTTTAAACACTGTATTACACAATGAATTTTACACAGTTTTTGCATTTAAATAAATAAATAAATAAATAATAATAATAATAAAAAAAAACAGAAGTCAAACTCATGCAGTAAAGTTGTTAAACTGATATTTAAATATAAAAAAACAAAAATGCTTTAAATTTCATTTGCTTGAAAGAGGCAAGGGAGGGAGAGAGTTAAAACATACATTAAGAAATGCAATCATGAAGCAATAGTGGAAGGATAATTTACTCACATAATTCAATCTCAGAAAAAAATTTCTAAACCAAGATATTGGTAAAACAAATATAAAATGATAAAACATGCATGCCCTGTGTTAATTTAAAAATATAAAGTGGAAAAAAAAATAAATATGTAAATTTTAAAAAAGTATTTTTGCAGTAGGTTACAGCAAATATAAGTTCATTTTTCATTTTAATACATTTATTATTGTTGCTAAATTTTAAAAAAATTGTTACGACAAATAGAAAATAATTTTATTTTATTCATGGCAACTTTCTATAACTCACATTATTTTTAAAATGAATAAACTAGTCTCTACTATTAAAATTGGAACACAAATATCTATCATTATTAAATAATGAAGAACCTGAATATATATATGTTAGAAATCAGCATATTACCTCTATTAATTATAATAAATTTAGGATACATGGGGGAGAAGATACCAATTATTTTTTTAGTCATGGATCAAGACAATTATAGAGATGAAATGCAAAGAAGAAGAAACTTGCAGACATTGGGTGTAGATAATAAGACACTATTTTATTTTTGATGAATAATTCTGAGCATGTATATTCTTGTTTACACATCACTATGGGTGTGATTTGCATTTCACAATTTTCGTAGCATGTCGCACTTTTTTCAGACAAAGGATGAAGCAGAATAGCAAGTGATACATTTTAAGCAGCAAAGCAAAGTGGGGAAAAGGGCTTCGAAATAGTAACAGTGGTATTTATTAACTTGTTTTCTTAGTTTAAAATCTGGATCTACGATGGGATACCAGCTACCTACAAGCTATCTCCATGGAAAAGAATTACATAAATAAGCATTAAATGAAAAGATGAATCCCAGAAAAATTATTGTACACAACTTAGAACAGAAAGGGGATATAACCAAATTAAAGTGGGGAATAAAAAGTACTACCGACAAATTAAAGGTAATAATTTTGAATTGCATAATTTACATCTTCCATGTATTCCTGTGTTGTTCCTCACATTTAATGTTAGAACCTACAATCAAATTTTTATTTATTTATCACATATATCGCACAAATTTATTGAACTTTTGATTAAAAACTTAGTCATTTAAAAGCTTTGAGCTGCTACTCTGCAAAAAGCAAGATATTTGTGTTCCAATTTTAATAAAACTCAATAAAATAGAAGAAGTATGTTCTCAGCGAAACACAATATGTTTGTCTCAGCGATTTCAAAGATATGTAAGACAGTTACCTGATTTAAAGTATTTATCTTCCATGCAGCTCCTTGCTGTCACTCACAAAATCATACGATATTTATACCTTGATTTCAAATTTATTCCGTTATTAATTAACAAACTAGACAATTTAACATGATATAAAAACAATAAATGCAGATTTATCTCCATTATTATTAAAATGGACCAATGAAATTAAATTAGCTGGATTCATTAAAATCATTACATATAGTTTTCTTTTTTTCATAATTATTTTAGGCAGCTGGTCGTACATACGACTAATATAACACATTTATAAAATCAAACGATATAGGCCAGAGTTAACATTTACACTGTGAGTTAGTTAAAAAGCGTAATTTTCATATTGTAATCTTGATTACCTAAGACTGTTAATGTAGCATTTGCAACAATGGTTCCAGCCACATTTTGAGCTGTACAACTGTAGACACCAGTATCACTTGGTTTTACACCAGTTATGAAAAACACATCATCAGTTGGCATTATGTGCATACGCCTTTCTTGGGCTGCAGGAAAATCTTCAGCACCCCCATCTTTCCGCCATAAAATGTTTGGACGCGGTTGACCTTTGGCTGCACATTCAAGTCTGGCAGTGCTACCAGTTTTAATAGCAATATCAACAGGTGTTTTACTAAATACTGGGAACACTGAAAAATAATATTACTGTTAATGGAAATCTGTATCAAAAAAACTGCAAGAAATTATTAATTGTGTGTTGAGAATCATTCAAGATAAACTTTAATTATTCTTTTTTAATTAAGTAGATTAATTTTTTAATTAACAGGTTAATTAAAAAAATAACCTGCTTTATTGAAAAATATAAAGATTATTTCAGAGCCACTCCTCAAAACTCTGAAGAAAAATTTTAAAAGTAACTTTATTTCAGAATATTTAGAACAGATCTGATTAAAGATTTTTAAAAAAGGAATTTTATAAAATTAAATGCAATAATGACCACAGGGATAGTAAAATGTGATAAAATTTCATAAAACTAAATTAGAGCTGGCATTACTAAATTACAAAATTGGAGCAATAGTTCCATTTTATTTTTTATTTACTTCTCTTAAGACATTAATCAAGCATATTTCAGAACTTTAAAGACTGAGAGTGGAAATAATTATGCACTGTTCCTCAAAATCAAAAAGACATATTTTAAAATGAAAAATCACAGCTGAAAATTTATAAAAATTATTAATTTTGTATCAAGGCATTCAATATCCATACTGATCACAAGTTACTTGCAAAATTTCACTAAAATTCTTTTATTTATTTATTTATTTTAGCCTCAATGCTATAATTTATAATTATAATTAATTTTCAGAGAACATCTCGAAAAAATCTAAATAATGCTAGTTCCTCTTCTTCCAAATGCATATAACACATAATTTAGTGAAATCACTGAAAAACTGCTATTTTTTTTATCTTTAATTCTCACATTAATAATTATTGCAAGAGTGAATATCTCAACAGATATCATATTATTACAGGCAAATATTCATAGAATAATGCACTTGTACTGAAATTAAACTTATTCTGCATTAAATCTAAAATAAAAAGCATTAATAAAAGTTCTTAAAATGTTAAATATGTTAGCTGTACATTGAATACTGCTAGTTTCACGCATGTGAAAATATCAAAATAGAAGATTTTTAATAAAAACTTCTTTAAGACATCACAGAGACTTTGTAAATAACTTATGATTATAGCAGAAAAGCTTCAGGAAATAAAATTAAAAATTTAAAAAAATCCCTTGCTTACCATGCACTGTTATTCGAGTTTTATTTGAATAAACTGATCCAAAGTGGTTTGAAATTACACATTGATAGCGGCCTTCATCTTCATCTCTAATGTTGTAAATATTCAAAAAGCTTGTAAAAATTGTAAAATTTCCTCTTCTTACACTGAAGTTCCTCATACGATGCCTAACATTATGAAGCAACTAAAAAAAGGAAAAATAATATTGTTAGAAATTTTAATAGGGTAAAAATTTTCTGATGGCAGTAAATAATTAAGAATAACTGAAACTTCAGTTATATCCTCTTGGAGCATACTAAAATTCATATTTTTGTATTGCTAGGTTAAAAAAAAAATTAACCTGGGAGCATGTGCATTCATTTGAGTTACACGAATGCACACACTGGGCCCAAAAGACCCAGCTATTGTTTTCTGAAGGAAAAAATTTTTAAATCTTAACATAAAAAATTTTACATCTAAGTCGATAATTAATTTTATGATCAAACTTTAAATGTATCTACATTAATTTTTTTAATTTCTTCAAATGCTTTGATCAAACAAAATTTCTTAAAAAACCTATTACATATTAAGGGGGAAAATAGTGTACCTTTACTCTGCATCGATTATTTTCTTTATTAGCACTAAGTGAAATATGCAACAAACGTTAGCAGCACATTGAATAAAGTGTTGTCATGTGTTCCAAATACAAATATTTTTCACATTCAGTGTGTTTTCGTTTTTTTCTGCGCCTTTTTGATGGGCAAACACTGCATTTTCTCCCCCATTTATAATATCCCAAAATAAAAAATTCAGGATCTATATCAGTTTCTGAATCAATACCATGCAAACTATGATCTGTGAATCAATATCATGCAAATCTGTGATCACTTCCATTCTTATTTCCTTCAACAGATTCTTCACCAGTTGATACATCTTCTAATAATTTTTGCAACATTTTTTCCTTGTATGATAAATTACGCAACATGTTTGTCACTTGTGTCTATACTACCACAAATCAACTACGTATCAGCAATGTGAATAGGCATGCTGGGTCTAAAAGACTCTATCCAATAAAAAACAAGACTTCAAAAAAAAAGTTCCTGTAAAAAAGAACATAACAAGAAACATAAAGAGAAGACCTTGGACAAGACTACACTGGACCTCAACAATTTATCCGAAATAGATGCCTTTTAAGAAAGGTTCATTTTAATAGGATGGATTCATTGGACCATCAGCGTGCTCTCGCATGTTAAGAAATCTTAAGTAACCAATCAATATCGGATACTCAATCCTCCTTGTTTATACAGTACAAAGTCCATAATCTGGACTCGTTGGGACTTTATAGATTCCGGATTAGGGGTTTTTCCAGACTATAGATCATCAATTTACATCTGGTAAGATGGCATGCAGAAATTATACAATTAAAAATATGAAATCGTAATTTATGAAATTATGATCAATTATGATCTAAAGGGTATCAAAATTTACAAAAAAAAAAAAAAAAAAAAAAAAAAAAAAAAAAAAAAAGCTTAATATTTATTTGTTTACTTTATTAAACATTTCTTTCAATGTAAGTTGTTTAAGTTGCTTCTTTTTTTGTGCTAATACTTGCTCTTTAATTCTATAAACAGATATAATTTCTTGTTCAGTTACAAAGTTCCACTGTTCAATTCCTGTGATTGCTATGTCGAGAATACCGACTAACTCGTCAATTGAAATTTTTTCGTTTTCAATAACCTCTCTGTCACTTTCTTCACTATCGAAAGCAGTAATTTTCTAGATCTAGAACCATACTACAGATTTCGCCATCCATTAATTGATTGATGATTGGGGCATTGTCGTCGCAATGAAAAACTTATTATATAATCTTCATTTATTACCGCTTCTCCACATTTCTTTACAAAATCCAATAACTGGAAAATTTCACCTTTAGTTTACGATGTCCGAAAACCTTTAAATCTGCGAGTATCATCTTCATCGTCCTCACCATGAAATATGGTAGCTAGCCATGAATCATGCCAAGCATTTTTTTTTATGTATCTGGTGACACATCCTCCCATGATCTTGCGATGCTCCACACAGCAGATTTTATGCTACAAAAATTTCAAGAAATCTTGAATAGTCTTGCCATTGTTCAAGAAATTTAATATAGATTTTAAAAATGCTACTTTATATTTGCATTTCAGCATGTGCACTATTCCCATATCCATAGGCTGAATAATAGACATACAATTTGGAGGGAAGAATAATATGGATACATTATCTTTAACTAAAACTTTAAGTGAAATATGTGCCGAACAGTTGTCAACAATCATCACTATTTTTGAGTCATCAGGTAAATCAACCGAATTCAAATGTCGCCGAGCCTCGGGTATAAAATGATTTTCAAACCAATCATTCATCAATGCTTGTGTCATCCATGCTTTTTTTATTTGCACAATATATAATGGGGAAAATCATTACTCCTTTAAATGCTCGAGGTCGCGTATGTTTTCTCATTATGAAAAGTTTGCACTTGTGCGTTTCTGCAGCATTTGCGCATTCAAAAATTGTTAGTCTCGCTTTGGAATCTTTGACACCAATTAGAGCCTTTTCTGTACAGGTTGCCAAGATTTCATGGTACATATTGCCAGAAAAGACCAGTTTCATCAGCGTTGTAAATTTGTTCTGGAGATAATTGTTCATTAGTAATGAGTTCAATGAATTCATCTGCAAATTGTTCAGCAGCTTCAGTATCAGCTGAAGCTTTTCCACCTGAAATTTTTAATTGTCTTATACCATGGCGATTTTTAAATTTGGTTAACCAACCTGTCGAATATTTGCACTTAGTGTTTAAACTCATTTCGTGATATATTTTGGCTTGAGCCATTAGTATTGGCACGCCAGTCGATGCAACGCTGTCTGATCCATTTAATCATCACTTTGCCATGATCGTCACTTTTGCATAACGAACCCTTTTTCTGTTATTCATTGCAAGTAGGGTGTCGGAATGCACAAAAAATTCAAAAAGTTCCTTTTTCTTTTTGCTTATGTCATATAACAGTTGATTTTCCAATGTCATACTCCTCGCATAATTTTGAGAAGGATATGCCTTTATCCATTTTTGGCAGCAATTTCACTTTTTGATTGACAGACATCGAAACATGCTTTCGCTTTGTAGATCCTTTGGCAGCTCCAGAATTGGAAACTTTTTTTTGACATAATCGAAAGTTCAAGCTTAATTTTTATTAAATTGCTCTAACAGTCTGCAAAAAATAATAAGCCGGATCCAATTAGAAGATTAAGGAACAGCGCAATCTGCAACAGTAAGTGCAGAATCAGTAAAGAAAATTTTAGCCTAGCTTATACCATTCGTTATACATTAAACGCGCATGCGTAAAGCATACAAACAAAAATGTTTGTGGCTTTGAGGTCTGGATTATAGATCATTTCGGATAATGGACATCCGGGTTACGGACTTTGTACTGTACAGATATATATTCTCTTGGCATTTTAATTTCCTTCAGAACAATCAAGTAAATTTCAACTAACAGCCTGATTACAAGACTGTTTTAATTCATACTATTATTCCCTAAAATATAAAAGTCTATTTTTCTACATATTAGGGTCAGTTTAAAATAGTGTGTTGATATTACTGGCACACAAAAGCGTGTTTTATTTTAGACAATATTAAGGATTACAACCTGGAATAAAATATTTTTATCAAAATATTAGTTATATTTATTTCAAATTATCTTTGAAAATAATTTTGAAGAAAGAATAATACCACTTGCGGACAGAATAGCATTAAAATTACTAATTAAAATTCAAAATCTGTTTTCAATACATTTTTCCAGAATGTTATGTGCACTTATCAGAATTGATTTTCAATTGTACACTATCAGAAATTTGCATTTAAGCTGCCTTGTTCTATATGCTATCAGAAGAAATCATAACTATACTTGCATTTAGGAAGCCCATAATCTATATTCTTTTAATTTTCCTGCGGGCTGGTCACAACATGGCAATAATAATACAAAATTCTCAAAATCAATAAATGTGAATTCTACACTATAAAATAATTTATTTTATGCATATGAAAAGATAAACACAGATATTAACATTACAGAAACAATATAGAATGGTCCAAAGTTTTGTTAACTAAAAGAGGGCTTCTGTCAATTTTTCCCAGAATACCTGAAGCAGCAGCAGATGTGGGTTCCAATGGACATTATTTCAAAGATAACTAGGTAACAGTTATTTACACTTCAAGCAGAATTATTCTAAAAGCAATTTCTGTAACAATGCAATTTTTAAAAAATTCTGCTAATTAAGGCTAACATGAAGCCAGCATTACTTTACACTACTTAGTATTCTTATTACTGGCCAAGGCCTGTGATTTATCTTTACTACAATTTTAACTAGATCTTCTAGTACAGATTAGAACTCTAACAGTCTTTGTTTAGGTATTTAGCAACTGGAAACCTAATCCAATTTCAAACAAATGTACAGTTTGTTCTCTAAATGATAACTAATATGTTTTACATGTGTAATTTGATAACATTTTCAAAGCAGGACAAACAAACAAAAATTACTTTTCCATCTTTCCTCCAATGAATTCTGATGTCAGAGGAACTACTACTTCTAGCTTGACATTCCAAAGTCACATTTTCTCCTTTCAAAGTTAGATTAGCATGTGGTTCTTTAATAATTTCTGGTTTAGGAGAATTCTCTGAAAAAATATTTTTAAATCTCCTTGAGAAAATTACATAACAAAAAATCACATATACAATTAACAAACATGATCATCAGGTTTTTTAATGTATAACACAATCAAAGGTTATTTAGAAATGCTTAAAACGATCAGGAACAGTCGATTCCTTTTTATTTTTGACAAGGGTAAACTAAAAATTTTTATAATTACGGTGTTTTCTTAAGATTCAACTTTGAGTTTCCCTGACCAGATACAACTGGTTAAGTTATTCTGAATATGGAAATGTACATTAATTTAACTGCCTAGGGAAAGGGATGCCTTTGTGGAGGACTTCTAATGGAAACCAGCTTGTATTCATGTCACATACATGGAAGGCCATGAGAGTCAACCTGTTCTCTTAGGATTCGAACCTGGGACAAACTACTAACATTCAGCAGGGCGTCCAAAAAGAACAATATCCTTGACTAAACATACTGAATTTGTTATCAAATTAAACAGAGTAACTGAATACATGTATTTGAAAAAAAATACAATGAAAAACTAAATATTATTTTAATTTATTTCATTCATAACTTTTTATGCAAATGAAAGAAATATACATAATAACTGTGCATCTAAACCATTCAAAAATGTATTACAGACTTAAAAAGTACAATCCAATAAATGGGAAAAAAATATTAATTTCTGAAAGAAATTCTTAATAACACACTCATAATTAAGACACAATAACACGCCGAATAAATACTGATTCAGAAGTCAAACAACAAAAATCAGCGTTAATTCACAAAATTTTCACAGGATTTGTTCATTTGCGGTTTTGCAGCTGAAGATGATGGTTCGGTAAAACCATCGAAACTAGTCCTGTGAAAATTTTGTGAATTAACGCTGATTTTTGTTGTTTGACTTCTGAATCAACACACTCATAATAAATGTGACTTAAGAGACATTTTGAAATAAAACTAAAGGACAAAGGATTATACAGCATTTTGCTGGAATCATGCTGAAGAATTCTAATGGAATGTTTAATTAATACATTTATTTATTATAGAGCACAACTACATAGCATAATGACATATAAGTTGTATTATTTACTTCTGAAGGACAATTACACATTTAAAGAGAGACAGGTATGAACAGGAAAACTGGCAGTGATTCTAACAAAACTAGGCCATTCTGATGAAAGTTTAAGGAACTAACTGCTCTTCATTCAATTAAATAATTACATGTTATTATTTATTTTATCAAGTAACCAATGCATACAGGTTACAAATATGTATATTAAAACTTGATTAGTGCAAAATCTAGCTTTGAGATTATTTGATAGTCATTTCAGCAGCCAAAAATCCCTAATGGAATATAAAATAACCACACACACACATACCCAAAAAAAAAAAAAAACTTTACAAACTCGATGCCACATACGTTCATTTAACTATGAATCTAAATGATGTCGCATTGTGCCATTTTCACAAATTGTATAATCTTTCAAGAATCCATAATCTTTTGAGTATGTGCATCAGAATAACCAGTCCCACAACTTTGAAAATACCCAAATTTTGATCTCCCCCCCCCAAAAAAAAATGCAAGAGAAATGTAGGAAAACAGCAATTAATTTTTAACTTCCTTACAAAACCTAAGCTGGCTTTATGAAGGGTTACATAAAACCAAAGCAAAGTTATGAGTGTGTTGGAATAGCATACTTACCCATTATCAGCGATTAATTATTGCTCTGTTTGGTCAAAAATTGTCCACGACAAAATATGGAAGTACCAGGAGGGCTGACCAAACAGTTACATTTTTAGAGAGAAGAATTAACTACAGCTCCTTAGCATGGGGGCAAAACTATGTGTAGATAAATATTGTTCAGATACAAGTTATACTTGGCACACAAAAAAGGAGGTAGGAAGTAATTTCTTTTATTTAAAGAAAGTTTTTTAAAAATAGATTATTGTTTAAAATATTAAATTTTATTATTAAAGATGACTGATGTATCACTCTTTTTGAAGAAAAGTTTACTTTCACTTACGATGCTGTTATATGAAGATTTTTCAGGCAAATGAAAGCTTGCAAAAATTTGTATGAAAATATAAAAATGACTAAAAGCATTTAAATACAGCATCTTTTAATAATAAATGACAAAATACTTCAGATATCAGAGAATCGATAAGAGAGCTTTACATATCTTGGTATATAGCTACTTACAAAGACAGCCTCGGGATCTTATGTTAAGAAAAAGTTTTTTCTAATATGATTTTCTAAAAGTACAATTATAATGGCATTATACATTTCAGTATTTCTAGTTTAATATTTCATCAATCTTACCACAAAGCATTTCTGACGGAGAAACTTCAAATACAGATTCTCCTCTCAGTTTCTCCGGGAATCCGCACTTTGCATACACACCATACTGAAAACTTATTGTCATCCAAGCCAAGTGGCAATCACAAAGCAGGCTAGTTGTGTTCAAATAGCTAAAAATGGAAATTTAATCATAATTAAAAACATGCATATAATATAAAATAAAAATTTGCTATATATGTGTCATTTAGAGATAAAAATAGCTGAAAATGATGAATACTAACAGCTCCTGAAGGTGACTCATCTCATCAAAAGCATATTCTTCTATGGTGGTAATATCATTATCAGTCATGTTCAAAGTTTCCAGCTTGGAGAGACCAGTAAATGCTCTTTTTACGATAGCTTTGATCTTGTTATTTGAAAGCCCTAAATATTTTAATCTGACTAGTCCAGCAAAAATTTTACCAGTATCTTCGATAGTCCATGAAACTTCATTGTTTTTCAATTCACTAAAAAAGAAATTAAATACAGACTTATTAGAGATAACAATTCAATGCATAAAGCAAATTTCCAGCAATCTTCAAATAATTAGTTATTCAAGTAAGTACAGGATGAGTAAAAAATATGACTGCATGCTTACATTATTGTGCAACAATAATACTATGGCCAAGGAATATAAGGCAGTGCCATCAGAAAGTTCTTCAAACAGAATACTGTCTTTGCACTCATTACTGATATTGCTGCACCAACACTATAGCAAATACTTTCAACAGGTTTTCTTTTTTGGGTATTTCCTATTCAGGCAATCATTTTCTCTACTTTTCAAATGACAGTGACAAAACGCTATGCTAAAAGTCATATCTCACCAGTTTTTCAGTCACATAATCATTATGGCATGCAACCGTTCACTCCAGCAGTGGCTACTGACACATATTTAGGCAGGTGACTCTTTTTTTAAAATGAAAAATGAAGTTTAACAGAACAATCACTATTTCCATCTATAACATACAACACACAGTAGCATGCCAAATTTACTTCATATATGTCTGCCGTAAACAAAAATTCAGAAACAAATTCCATTCAGAATTCAGAAATTGTTAATACTTTTGCATTTATCAAATCCCAAAATCTGTTCCTTCCAAACTCCTAAAATGGATACCTTTAAGAAAACTTTATATAAAATAAAGTCAGAGATTAAAAAAAAAAAAAAAAAAAACCCACAATGTTTTTGTCGAAAATCTATCTCTGCTCATTGGTTTCTTCGGATCTTCATTGGCAAATGTTGGTTTCTGAGATCAATAATTTATTTTTGGTAAATGTATCATACTCATAACTAAAAATACCACTGACACAACATATAGATTCCCATTCCATATCTTAGATAGCAGTTTTCAAAATTATTTTTATTTCGCTTGTTATTATTACTGATTAGCTCATAGAATTCTTTCCACATAACCAATCCAAAAAATATTTAAGCAAATGATTTAAGACAAATCATGATAAGAACCAGGTATTAAAAAAAAAGGAGATCCAAACTTCCCATTTTCAATGTTTACAGAATTTAGCCTATTTAACTCAGGATTGTCATTTCAAGTATCCAAATTTCATTTGCTTTCCAAAACAGATTTTTCAAAAGATTTTTCTATGCTCGCATTCATTTTGGATATCAATCAACTCTTGCTTTTAATTTCCCTCATCTTCACCACATTCAATATTGTTGCACGTGTACAGGTTTGCAATAGACTGAATGAACACAAGTCCGAAGACAGGTTAATAAAATTTATTCCTATCAAAAGAAACATTCAGAGCTCTGGCACTTCCCACAGAAGTACTCGAACAGGTGTTCACAGTATCGCAAAGTACAATCAGTAGTAACGCTTCAAACTAATAATGTTAAAGTGCAGCTAAAGAGCGAAGCTAAACCGGAGATATACACGGAACTTATGCTAAGCTAACCACAACTGTGAGCAGATGCTTTCTCTGACTAGTTTTCACTGGACCGCTGAGATATTTCTAGTACTTTCTGCTTCTCCAAATAAACTGGCCGAGTTACAGTTACAGCCAATATAGTGATCAATTACATTTATTCAATTACAATACCTATTACGGTGATAGAGTGACTGGACCAAAATGGTGGCAAATTTTGGCAAATTCTTTCCAAGTTTGGTGACAGAAATTAGTTGCCAACACTGTCGTCAGCTTGGCAATATCTCGCCAAATTATCAAGATCTATATACAAAATCCCTAACAATATAATCAGATTCGTCCATCTCCTCCAACAATATAGCACTTACTTCTGCTTGGGTACCATTTTATGCCATCTTATCATTTTGGAGTTATGTAGCAGACCAACAACAAGACTTTCATATTGTAAGAGGTAAAATAAGTCAACCAGGTAAAGCTCATGAAATGGGAGCTCTTGCATTCAATGAAAAACAGGAGAAGCAACATTCAAAATTAGACTGATACTCAAGAAACAGAATGATAGTTAACTCATTCCACAATTCCCTAAACTAATAAGCCATGTATTAACATCAGCAGGAAAACATACATGAAATCTACTTAAGCACATTGCAATCTCCTTGATTTTTGATTGTAAGTATGTCTTGGGATTTTCCATAATGATATATTTAATAAGAAATTACACATAAATCAGAATAATACATAGAGTGTGATAAAGTAGGGAAGTTTATTATTTCATCAAAAAAATTCAAAATACCAGATGAATAGAAGAATGAAAACAGTGGCATATAAATTTAAAAACTACAGCCTAATAAATTCTAATGTATACTAAATACATTCTTATTCCTCAAAAATATACTCACAGGTATTGAAGTGCTGACAAAGAGCGAAATGCTCCTTCTTCAACATAAGTTATCAGATTGTCGTTTAAGATAAGCCTTTTTAATGAATAGAGTTTATCAAACATTTTAGATGATATAATTTGCAATCTGTTGTGAGACATATCCCTGTAAGATGATAAAAAAAAAAAAAAAAATTATTGCAGAACACAAATAAACAAGTTTTCGCATATGCATCCCCAAAATATTTTTCATTTTTATCAACAATATGATCAAATAAATTCGTATATCTCGACAAATATTATGGCTACAGCACATACAGGGCATGATTCAATTTATTTTACAGTTAGCAAATTTTCAGACAAAATTTCAGTCTGGTTGTTTATTTTCAGATACTGTCAAATAAAATTGTTACATCATTTAATAAATAATATAATCATATATGAGATATGATAAAAAGGTTAAGGGAATGATATTATGATGAAATTCCTATTCAGAAGACATAAGCAGATTCTTATTTTTGCAATCAGCATCCCTTAAACTACCAAAGTATTTCATGGCAGTAAACTCCTTGTTTTGATTTAGTTGATTATGGCAAAGCATACTAGGCTATCTGCCTAAGGGAAGGGACCCTTCATGGAGGACTTTCTAAGGGAAATTGACTCATATACATGTTATGCATGGAAAAAAACATGAAAATGCCAATGTAGCTTGCCCGTTTGCCCAGATTCGAATCCAAGTCAGAACTAGTGTTCAGCGATTTTACTACTTGGCCACTGATGAGCCTATACACTGCTCCTTGGTTACTGTCTGGCTAGGTAGAGCATATTCTTAACAGACAATACCACTGTATTCAAAGAAAATTTTTAGGAATCCTCCCGTTGATTCGACTCGCTCGTGCTCTCTTGAATCTTGGAGATACTGGGGGTCTGCCACTGCAAAAAACGATTCTTAGTTTCATTTTTCTGAGTACAGTCAGTAAGATCTTGTACAAACCCCTTTTTTATTTGGGGGGGGGGGCTTTGGGAAGCAGTTTTGGCACAACTTTTGCTGACATTGATCACACACTGAAACCTTCAATAAGAATGGACCAGACTGAATTAAACCATAACTAATATTAGATCTTTAGATATTTCACTGATAGTGATTTGGCTTCCTCACACAGTGAGCACATACTTTTTATGCTTTTCTCAATTTTGCAGGTTATTGATTTTCTGAAGGATTTATTCATTACTTTCTTGGACATCTTGGAAACATCTGAATGTCTTGTGAACCCTGCATACTACTCCCTGCACAATGTAGACAGTTGAAGCTTACGGTAAAATTTGAGGCTAATTCAGTGTTTAACTTTCTCTGGCATGGTTTAATATCACAACAACAGCCATGTAAACAAGGCAAAACAGGTGTGGTTATAATTCCTGTTTGATATTAAGAGAGCATGTACAGTGCAGAATCCAAAGTTAATCTGGGCCTAGCACATTTACATGCTAAGAATTTAATGCTTACAGCATTTTCATGCTAAGAATACAGCAATTTTCTCTTACTTCTTACATACATATTTAGAACTTAACAATTTGGAAATTTAGAAGATTAATTTTATGACACATAACCTTTGATTTTGAATTTCTAAATAATATTAAATTACTTTAAATTTTCTCAGTTAAAACAGTCATAAAAATTTTAACACAAAACAAACTTAAGCCAAGAATAAAAAATTTTTAATGGCTTAAAAAGCTCAAATATGTGTCACTGCTAGAATATATTCAATGGAGGTTTCATTCAATCTAAAATATAAAGAGTAATTATGGTTCAATTACTAGTGTTTAATGCCATGTATAATTTTAAATTAGATGACTTCATCTGATCGATCCTTTCATCTGCTCATTACAACTTGCATTACATACAACCATTCAAATTTTAATCTTAATGTAACTAAATAAATAAAACTAGAATTTCTAATACTTCCTACATACCACCAATTTACTCAAAACAACAAAAAATTCATGACATATAGTGTCCATTTTATGTTCAAAAGATAAAATTTTATAAATGGTGCACAGCAGAAATATAATTTGTTCTGAATGGATTTTCTGCCTTTCTTTTGTCATTCTATGATGAAGCAAAATTTTAATTTAAAAAATGTGCCACAAAAATATACATACATTTTGATATTCTTTTTAAATGAAAGCATAACTTTAGAATCACTTACAATTCCAATAACCGTCTTCCAGAATCCCAAGCATTATCTTCTATTTCAGAAATATTATTATTGTTCACATACCTGGAATAAGTTATAAGTTTAAAAAAATCTAACATAAATTAAACATTTATTATTTTTAAATATTTTGTTGATAAATTTAGAATTATACAAAATAGTAATATACATAGAAAGCATATAAATGTACTAAAATCAATATTTACATATATATATATTAAAAATTATTGCATATATATATATATGTATACATAAAAAGGCATGCAAATAATCACATATCAGCAAATTTAAAATACATTTATTATGGTTATAAGCAAACTGATCACCATTACAATGTGATTTTCCTGTACAATTAGTTTACTTGTAAAAGCATTAAGGTATTATTTTTTCTGAAAATGTCTTGTAACCATAAATAACCTGATCAGCACATACATCTATTTTAATTTTTCTTGAACTTTTACTGCAAAGACAAAAAACTTCCTGCTTCCTCTTCCTTTCAAGCAATACAGAAAAATGATTTGGAAATCTGTGACAGCACATTTTTGAACACATTCTATAATATAATTTTAATGCAGTTTTAAGTCCTTCCCACAATCAGATTATTACTTTTAATTCCGTCTACCTCAAAGAAATTTCATTGCTAAATGTAGTTTATGATGCTTTTACAGAAATACACATATAAAACTACTTATCAATGTTTAAATACATGAAATAATACTTTTATCTCAAATAACCTAGATTTTTTTATAACTGAAAATACAGCAAAGCTATATTAAATTATGAACAAGATTTATTCAAACACTGGAACTTATCACAACTTTGCAGTACAGAAAATTATTAAAAACTTGCTTCTGAAGCAAAACTTACAGCCGCTGCAATGTGTCTAATCCATACAACCATCCTTTGGTAATCTTCCTTATGTTATTGTAATCCAGATACCTAAAAAAATATGTACAGCAAAATGAGCAAGGAGTAAAATTATAAGCAAAAAGTCATTCAAAAAAGTTTTCGAATTAACTTAATAGGAAAATACATAATACATTAAAACTATAAATTAAATTTATCGGAAACAGGATAGACGGCTTTTTTTTAATATTAAATATAACAGAGACAAAAACGCTTTAGAAATGAGAACTTTTAATTTTTATAACAAAAAGTCTCTTAATGAGCTATATAACTATTCCTTGAACAATATAAATTCAGCTGCATACTTATGTTTATATGCACATATCCCCTCCTCAAAAAATATACTAGAATATAATCTAGAAACCTGTCATAGTTTCAAAACTTGGTAGAAGAATAGCACATCTTAAAAGTTGTGAAAATAGGGAGCACATATCATTAATGACTTCGCAAATAAAAATCATATTTATAGAAAAAAATTTCCATTTAATTATATATACTGTTAGTAATATGCAAACCATCTACATGATTTTATGTGACATAAAATGATACCATATCCAGAAGTCTTTGAGTATAATATAAAACAATAACATACTCCTTGCAGTGCATAAATCAGGTAGTTTATGCCTTACAAGATGACCTGAATTAAGGACTCCAAGCTGACGAATTTAACGTCATTCGGATTAAAAATAAACTTATAACATACTGCTTTTGTTTTTTCATGTTTTTTAGTAAATTTCTTTTGCTTTTGTAATTTTCTTAAAATTTTAGAAAGCTTCAACTTGAGGTGATTTTAAGCATGATAAAATAAAATTTATAACATGCATATATAATTACATTAATTTTTTTAATTTATTCAAAAGTACTTTGAAACTATAGATAAACTTCGAAATATTATACTTAAGGCAAAATGAAAACACAATATATTTATAAAATGTTTTCTAAATTTTGGGAATGTCTAGCTCAGGTTTTTTTTTTTTTTTTTTTTTTTTTTTTTTTTTTTTTTATGCATAATTATTCCATATGCTTTTCCCCAAGCACATGCTTTATTGCTAAAGTTCAAAATGAAAATATGTGCATATAATACTTATAAAACACTACATACATATCAGTTAACTTTTTATTTTATTAGTATAGCTTCCAGGATATCAGGATATTTCAGGATATCAGTAGTTAAGTTTTTGGAGAGCAAACAATTATACAAATATTTTGGACATTATAAGAAGCTTATTTATAATGGATATATTTAAAAGAACAAATATATTATTCACTCCTTAAAATGTACAATCAGTGTGTAGATGGTTAGGTTAGGTTATTTAATTATGGCAAAGCCTCGAGGGCTATTTGCCTAAGAGAAATGATGCCTTCGTGGAGGACTTTCTAAGGGAAACTGGCCTGTATACACGTCACACATGGGGAAAACACCCATGCAGCCAGCCCGTTTGCGGGATTCGAACCTCGGACAGAACTACCGACTTTACCGCTCGGGAACCTCAATCAGTGTGCGGAAAAACATATTACATATGTAAATACTTAATATACAGAATAATCAGAAACCTCCAAAACAAATACTTACAATCTCTTTATTCCATTTAAGCCATAGAAAGCCCCATCTTGCAAATAAGTTATTCCACTATGCCTTAACTTCAAAACTACCAAGGAAACCAGCCCTTGGAAGCTAAGCCCTTCAATCTGAGTCAAACTATTCGAGTTTATTTCACTGGAATTATAAAATGATACTGTTTAAGATCATGATGCTAGAAAATAATCAAAACACATTTCAATTTTCTATTTCTATGAAAGACAGATTTAAATATACATTATGTACAGTAAATTAAAAATTAAATTATGTACAGTAAATTAAAAATATATTACATAGAGTAACTATTTCTATAAAAGACAGCTTAAAAATATATTACGTACAATAAACACTCCACTATCCAACTAACTGGAAAGCTCAAATAATAGAAATCAAATAATGAAGACTCTATTTGTATGTGTGTACGTATGTTTCTAGCACTGTGGAAAAACAGCAGCATTCAGAGGCATTTAATTTTGAACACAAATGAGAGTCCTCCACTTGAACACATTCACTTCAAAGCTCGAATTTTGAAATGTATTTTATTTATTTTGTAGTTCATGTAAATTTAATGAACTTTTGATTATAGCTCAGAGATTTAAAAGCTTTGTGCTGCTGCTTTTCAAAACATAAGATATTTTTATTTTAAATTTAATCAGAAAACTCATATAAAAGAAGTGTATTGTCACTTAGCATAACACAATATACTTCTCTTCCAAATTTAATAAAAGAACTCAGAGACTTGAAAGAACTGCATTACTAATGCCCAATATAAAATACTTTTACCCTCCATGCCCCAGATTGTTACCATTTGGCAAAGCATAACATACTTTTCTTTCAAATTTATTCTGGTATTAACTAACAAACTAAGCAATTTAAAACCAGTAAATGCAAATTCAGTTTAATTATTATTAATTACTAGCTGGAATAGTGACATTACATTAGCTGGATTCATTAAAATCATTATGTATACACATTTCTTTTTTTTTTATAACTGTTTTAAGTGGCTGGCTACATAAGTGAGTAGTATTTTAAAATTTAAAAAACATTTTAATGAAAAATTAAGAAAATAATAGACTTTTAAAGCCTTTATAAATCACCTACTGACTAATACCTACTGACTCAGAATCTCATTTATAACACCTCAAATGTGAATATAATTACAGGGCTCTCTTTCAGATGTTGATTACACCACATCAACACTACCACTGTATCCATCATATCGTTCCAAGAATTTGCGCTTGGAACTTGATACTCCTTACAAAAAGAGAAATGAGGAGTTCGTATGGGTCATGGGACAGAGATTTCAAAGTTCAGGACAGATGTTTAGTACTTAAAATTATACATATTTTACACAAACTCAACTTTTGAGTCATTTTTGCTTCTAGCAATAAAATTAATAGTTCCATACTTAAAAACACCCAATTCAGAATATGATCTTCTGGGATATATACAAGATTTCTTGCCAATGTGGTGTAATTTATATTGTCAGACTAAGAGAGCCATAAAAGTTTGCACTAGAGAACACGAAGCATATGTTAGAAAAAAAGAAACATATAACTTTTTGTTACCCAACACTGCTTGTCAGAATTTTTCTACAGCCAGAAATATTCAAAAGAAAAAAAAATCTTCTGTTGGTAAATTAGATTTTCTCAAGATGCTTCACATTCATAACAATCTTTCAGCTCTGTTAACGATCCAAATTCCAATCCGTCATTACCTTTAGCTTTTGAAGAAATTACTTTGGTTTTCATTTTTCATCAATAAATGATGCCAGTAGTTTAACTTCCTTCCCCTCATTGCTACTGCCTGAGCACAGTCTTCTCTTTCATCATTTACACTTCTGCAGCTGAAAAAGATGGTTCTATATTCAAACCTTGGAAACTAGTCCTGCAAATTTATGAATATTATGCTGAATGTTGTTTCCTTAGCACCTCCAATAAGTGTTTAGTCTGTCAAACATAAGAACTGTTCTCGCCAGCTATTAACACTCTCGTTTAACTTGATCTTTTCAACAGAAAAAAAAAAAAAAAAAAGTTGTCAAACAGTATGAGGGTCAATGGAATGCCAGTTGTAATTTCACACCAATGCACCAAATGTGCACGTCATGAGTAGCTAAATGGCTATGCAATGACATCATTGTGAATAGAATGACCAGGGATGGAGTAATATCCCCTCCAAGATTTTACTTTTAGTTGAAGTGTTCTTATATAAAAGAGAGAGAAAGAATCACTATTAATTACATAATTTAGCTGTTGTCACTTGATAAACAATCATGATGAAAGTCTCCCAAGAAAAAGATGTCATCTATATATTGAAAAATGTTGCTCTGGAAACCACAAAATAAAATTCTAAAAATATTTTATTACTACCAAAGCACCAAAATGGCACAAGAATTCTGTCAAAGGCAGCAACAAATGTCAGCTAAAATAATTGCATGCATACTAATTCAGAAGTCAAACAACAAAAATCAGCGTTATATTCACAAAATTTTCACAGGACTAGTTTCGATGGTTTTACCGAACCACCATCTTCAGCTGCAAAACCGCAAATGAACAAGATAGGAAATAATGATTAGATAAGATAAGAAAGCCTGGACAAGAATAAGCAAGTGGCGCCATCTGTTGGTAAAACCAGAACTAAAACATAATTTCTTTAAAGGGCTTTCAATCCAAATTTGCCTTCGGCCTTTAAAGAAATTATGTTTTAGTTCTGGTTTTACCAACAGATGGCACCACTTGCTTATTCTTGTCCAGGCTTCCTTATCTTATCTAATCATTATTTCCTATCTTGTTCATTTGCGGTTTTGCAGCTGAAGATGGTGGTTCGGTAAAACCATCGAAACTAGTCCTGTGAAAATTTTGTGAATATAACGCTGATTTTTGTTGTTTGACTTCTGAATTAGTATTTATTCGGCGTGTTATTGTGTCTTAATTGCATGCATTCTTATCTGTAAACTTATGTCTTAATTTTTAATTTTATACACTTATAATAGATGTAAAAAAGCAGCAATTGATTTCATGCAGCTGTATTAGGGATTGCATCTGCAATCTCTAGTTAGTCAAAAATTTATGTTTGGAAAAGTACAACCCCTGTTAAAGGAAAAAGTACCAAGAAGAGCTCATTAAAATTTTGCATTTTATATTCAGTAACAAATAATACTCACAGATGCTGAAGAGTGTTTAAATGCCTGAAAAGCTCTTTTGGAATTGAGGACAATTTGTTCTTGCTCAGCTTCAAGCTCTCCAAAGAAGTAAGTTTATCAAACACGCCCTTCTCTAAACTGACTATACGATTATGACTGAGGGAGCTAACAAAATAAAGTGAATAAAAAATATTAATGCCACATGATATTATCAAAAATAAAACTGTACAGATGAGAAACAACAATGCTATAAACTTTTTTAGAAAACTCTAATCATACAATTATGAATATGAAAAAAGTAATGAATGCTAAAAAAGTTTCTTAGAAAATTATGAAATTTAAGTGCAACTGCTGGTATTTTAATAACTAAATAAGTTATTAATTATTTATAATTTGCAAGATAATACGCTATTGATATGTGAACTCTTTTTTTAAATATGAAAAATTAAATTAAAATTACTTTAAAACAGTCAAGTCAATAAAAAATTATGAAAATTAAAAGTTAAATAGTGCGACAAAAATAATTCTGATTTTGGATCTTTTCCAATCAGAAAATAAAACTCTGAAAAATCTATATAATATTTACAGAATTAGACCTTGATAAAGATACTATCTTCCTATCTCACAGTTTAAAGCCATGTTGATATACCATGTTTTATTTCATACATATTTTAAGAAAGTCTTCTACCCCAGAGAATGAAAGTTAACACTCAATCATGTTCACTTCCTGCTTAAATAGCAATTCAGATAAAGATCAGTGACATGAATTACAAGCCACAAATCCAACCCCAGCTTCTAACACTAATACTCCTCTTAATAGCCTATATCCTGCTTAGGCAATAATAGCATCCTTTTTAACACTACAAATGCTGAAAACATTGGCACTGATTTTAAGTGACTGAGACATCAAAGCTATTTCTCACTTGGTGAAATAATAGAAAAATTACTGAATCAAGCAAGTAAAAGTACAATCAGTAAAATAAAGCGAAGTCAAACCTTTTAAGAACAAGGGAATTTAAGCACAATAAAGTTGTATCCTTTCCTTTAAAATAAATAAATATATAAAATCTGTATTTGACATTATTTGTGCAAAGAAATGCTTCTCTCATAAAATATAATGATAGACAAAAACAAATTAAGATAATTAGAAGTAATATACTATATCTAAGATGGCCTAATGCCTAAAATATCCTTGAATTTATGAAGAAGAGTTGTTTTAATGCATGAAGAACAAACATTACTTTTTTAAAAGTAAACTTATATCTTACATTCATGCTACTAAAGTAAATCTCCAGTCGATATAAAAAAGTATCATTCCCAGTAAATACAAAAAAAGTAAAGTATCATCCCCAGTCAATACAAAATCACTGTTAATTTGAAGGCAGTTAAAACATGTGAAACAGAAGTAACTCTCATTAAAATTAACAGGAGACAATTTATCAATTTTTCTTTATTTCCATGTTTAAGATGGAGTAGCTCACTGATTACATAAAAAGCATTCAAGGAGAAAAAAATAGGATAACAATGGAAAAATAAAAATCATCAAAAATGATAAAATATAAAGCTTAAGTTATAAATAGCATTTAAGAACAACATTTAGAAGAGAGCTTTAACAATGCCTCTCAGTTAAAACTTGCATAAATTAAATTACTATTGTGGTCAAAAACAACTCCCAAAATTATATCATTTGCTACCACTGCTGTTATCCCATGCATTTTTTTCTTTTCCTCTTTGCATTTTCCACAGACAATCTTTCTTTTCTGCTGATACTTTGTGATAGTAACTCTTCCACCGCTTTGCAATGAAAAATGTTTTGCCAGGGGGATGACATGCTGTTAAATTGAGAGGTGACTGTACGTTTATTTTCCTTCAAAGGAAATTATTATTATTATTTTAATAGTACAACTCTCAAGAAATGTCAAACACTCTAGAAAATGTACTAAAATTTCACTTTCATTCATTCAACTTTCCGCCAGCACTACATAGGCAATATGGCACACAATTATTAGTCGAAGTTATTACTTATTATGAAAAGATACCAAGAATTCTCTTAATCCCTATATAACATATTACATTATAATCAGTACATGCATTAAATAAAGAAAGCACCAATAACCACAGATACAGGTGATATTATCTTCCAAAAACTGGTACAGATTCTTTTAATTCCAAGCTTCGTAGTGACGACAAAAGAGAGAAGTTAATATGAGCACTATCTAAACAAATTATTCAGCTGAAACTAACCTCTTAAAAATTAAATTAAATTTTACAGTTAAATAAACTTTACAGAGCATTTAAATTGAAAGACAATGGATGTCAAAATTCCTTATATAAAGAGCAGCACCAGGCATCAAGGATTCGCATGGATATTCTTGGATTTCTAATTACATCACGGGTTGAGTTCTAGATTGAAAAAGTCTGGAAATTTTAAATGAGTACTTATAAAAGTTGAATAAATGTATAAAAAATAGCAGTGCAACATTTTAGATGTATTTTTAATAGGATGAAAATATTTTAGTATAAAGTCATTTCGTGATTTGAGTTCTTTGTTTTCCCATTTGCTTTCAATTTCATATATAAAGTTTTTGCTTCTCACATTAATTTTTAAACCTCAAGATTTTCTCAACACTATCTTTTTTTAATAAAATATCCTAAATTGGCTTTTTTTCTAAAATATGATAACTATGTATATGGTAATGACAAAGATGTTTTTATAGATGACTCTAGAACCTGGTTCAGCGTTAAATCTGCCAACAAGATATTAAAAAATCAGGTCATTTTCAAAAACTGCCAATCTGGCAATATGTTTTCCAAAATTAAAAACACAAAAACTTCTACTACAATTATTTACAAGCAAGAAGACAAAAAAGATATATATATTTTTAAGATACCAAATAATACTGATTATGATACTTACAGATCACGCAGAGATGTAGAATTCCCAAAGGTATTGGATGGAAGATCAACCAAATTATTAAAGCTAAGATTTAATTTTTCAAGCTTAGGTACACCTTCCAGTACTGAAGAATTTAAGCTATGAATTTCGTTATGTTGTCTGAGAAAAGGGGGAAAAAAGGAAATAATCAAAAATTTGTTACAAACAAAATTAAAAGTTAAAAAAAAAAATATTGCATCACACCATGGTTGCAATATTTATAAACAATGAATTAGTACAATATGTCATGCATAATTTACTATTTTAACATAATCATGGTTAAAGTAATGACAACAATGTTGACCATATCCATGACAAATTTTGGTACTTACGTATTAACGCCACCACACTTACGTATTGCACACAGTTATGTGGTATATGTCAATGTCTGGTTATCTTTTGGATTCCTTTTTGCCTTGTTTGCTGATTTATGATGTCATTTTTTAGTGCTACAAAAAATGAGTCTTTGGGATTTGCCAAACACAGAAGAAGATGTAATTTTATTTTTTCAGGAGCAAAATATTTTACCAAACGAAAATGTACCAATTCGCATGATATGAAACTTTATTTTAGTAAACGTATGTTCTGGAAATGTAATTTAACCACTTAACAGTTTCTTTTTTCCATCATATTAAGACAAAAAATAAGCATATTTTTGATAAACGTTTTTATGAAGAAATTCATTATATAAACCCAAATCAGCAGTCAGAACTATTACAAGTGTTGAATTTATTGATTTACGCTAATTTTTATTTTCATCATAAAAAGCACATTTGGTTAATCTTTGGATTATGGTAACTTGGCAATTTTTTGGCGAAAATTTGGCGACCAACCCTGCTACCGCAACCTGCTAGTTTTTGTTTGGACGTCATTTTGTTTTCACGAAGTAAAGGCTTTTTTTTTTTTTTTTTTTTTTTTTTAACTCAACATTTTTTTCCAACAATCTGCTAGCTGAATTACGCTTATGCTAGGAACTTTTATGGAACAAAAGTGCTTAATCATGACGAAGATTAGGTGCAAAATTGGGAGAAAGTGCAGAATCGCAAACTGCTTGCTGCGTTTTTAAGAATGGCACATACACTGTATCCATGTACACATCGACCTATTTTCACTTAAAAAAACATCCCAGAATTGCACAAAGATGGCACTGCGCACACTCTTTATCCATGTAGACTGCTAAAGTCCTAGCTAGTAACCTTTATCGCCTTACCAAAATGTTGCCAAACTACCTGTTACCATATTCCAAAGATTACCCGCACATTTTTCCTTAAGTTGGCTTTTTTCGAACAAGTAAGCGAGCTGGAAAGAACACCTTTCTACAAAACCTAACCTTTTCACACATTTTCTACAAAAATAGATGTCAGAATTTAAAATGTTTTATTGTTACTACATATATATATTTAATTCCAAAGAAGAATTATTAATATCAAGAAAGAAGGATTATTAATATCAAGTTCACAAAAGTTTATAGATTATCTATACTTTCCATTTCTTTATCACTAAAGAAGTCAGACAACAAACTGTCATTACTTCCAGAATCATTTAGTGAAATTTCAGATTCACTATCCGAGTCAGTATCAGAGTTATCTTCAGTTATAAGCTGCTCATTATCATTCATTTCTTCTTTTATTTTAGCTCCAAATTTAAAAGAAATAGTATTCGCAGTAGCCGGAACACCGAGCTAGTGAAAATATTCGCGCCTTTGCTTGCATAAAAGAATTCAGTACAACCTAACCTTGAAACCAGTTGTTTTGCAATTCTAACTTTACTGCATTACTAGTGCCATCTGTTAGAAACATTACACACTAAACAAGCAAAAAATTCGGGCAAATCAGTGTATTAGACTAAAATGTTTCCCGAGTGGAAAATCAAAAAAGTGCCATTTCCAAGTACCTGAACAGCATTCGGGCAAAACTGGGAAATGGTTAAGACAGTGTGATCAGCAAGTGGGATTTAGAACAAACAACTCTTTTGAAGGAAGCAGAATTCCATTTTGTTCAGCTTTGAGATTCATATACTGCTGGTGCGAAGAGTTGACTTTTGATTAAATTTTGTGAAAAGCAACTTGATTTATCGAATAAAACTATTATAGATTGGAACAATTACATGCGTGAATTATGTGTCTTGGATATGGAGAATAAACCAAACAAGAAGGTAGGTGGACCACATTGCATTGTGGAAATTGATGAAAGTTTGTTTACTAAGCGTAAAAATAATTGTGGTCGAGTATTACTCGAACAGTGGGTGTTAGGTGGTACATGTTGAGAAACAAAAAATTCGTTTGTTGTAAAACTGGCTCTAATACCCTTCTTAATAAAATAATTCAAAACATTGCAGATGGTAGCACAATTTATTCTGACAGTTGCAAAGGTTACCAAACAAATAGAATAGAAAAAGAAGGATTCCTACATGCTAAAGTTATTCATTAATACAATTTTATTGATCCTGATAGAGGAGTTCATACACAAACAGTTGAGAGAATGTGGGGCAGTGCTATATGGAGGAACAAGAGACATAGGGGGCCAGCGAGACATCATTTAGAATCTTATTTAGCAGAGCTCATATGGCGACAGCATCAAGTCAAAGAAAATAGAGACTGTTTTGAATCTATGTTAAACTCTATATCGGCCCATTTTCCACTGAAATCCGATTGACTGCTTTCATTTTAAATAAAGTGTTTTTATTTTTGAAAGCCTTTTGATTTAAAGTGTTTTAATTTATGATTTGTTGCAAAAATTTTAGGTGTAGATTGACGGCACTTAAAAACCACCAAATTTGCAGCTGCGGTGGTGTTAATATGTAAGTACCCAAATTTTCTATTCAAGACTGAAGCTTCATTACATAGAAATTTCTACTTTAGTCATGCAGACATTATTCAACAATTTATCCATCATGCACTTTTTTAGGCACAGAGGATTAAGACAGAAACAAACACTGACATACTGATTTCGGTATATATGTATTATCCCATCGACCAGCTAAGCATCACGACTCAGTGCCAATTATGGACGATTACTTCCTTTAGAATTCTACAGTAATGATTAGCGACTCATAACCATTTGAAGGGATAGTAACCTAGTTTCAAACTTTTGTTTTAGAAAGTTTTCAACAATTTACTCAATAAATACCCTGAACTTTAAAGTGCAATGAAAAAAATTTTACACAGTAACTGAATACTCATTAAAAGATAATAATGATGAAATCTGCACTGCCTTCAAAGTATAAATTATGCTTCAATTTGAAGTAACAAACAATTTTAATTACCTATAAAAAAATCAGTAAAATAATGGTTGACTACCACTTATTTTACTTTCCCTTCATTTACCAAATTACAGAAAGCAATCAATTTCACAAAAAATTTAAACATAACAGAATGAACAAGATACTTACACATATAATTCCTGTAGAGCAGGATAGTTAGTTAGAACTGGAAGTTCTGTTAAATGGTTTTGTTTAATAACACTGAAAGAAAAAAATTACACACATAAACACATGTATTATACATACAAAAAATTAACAGTTTGGGAAACTATTCAATATTAGTTGAATATAGAAACTTGAAAGAAAAACTTACAGCTTTTCCAATACAGATAAAGCGGGGAAATTTGTACCATTTATGTATCGCAGCTGGTTGTTGCTCAGATTTCTGTAAAAGTAAATATATATATTTAGAGATCAAAGCACATTTTTTCAAGTTAAATGCAACAAATAAAAACTTACAGGTTATTAATGATTCCCCAGCAGGACCAGATAGATGAATAAGAAAATTAACAGCTGTCTGCTAACACTTTATAATTTTACTTATTCACAAAAACAATTTCAATTTTATACTGAAGAATTAATCAAGTCAATAAATAATATATTTAGTATGTCTTCAAAACATTAATAATACATTTCTCTGTTACAATTAAAGGAGAATAATTTATTAATTAGAAAGAAAGAAGTCCCAAACAACAAAAGCAGAACATATTTTCATGAGACAACAACAGTACTTAATATCTTCACAGTTAAAGAGTTCCTCCCTTCATGTAATTCACATGAGCTGTAATATGAATAAAGTCTTCAGAATAAGGGTTAACATGAGCAAAAGAGATAGCACCAAAAAAATGCAAAAATTCACCTTAATTTTAAAAAAAATATTTTTTTAGGGAAAGCCAACCAATTACAACATTCATCTGATGCCAAGAAAAACCTGTTTTCTGTAACATTATAAAAACCTGCAAATTAAAATAGCCAAAATATTTCCATTCCAAAACTTTTCTAATCATTCTTCTTTCCCCACCCCTTCAATAAAACCCTGAATGTCAGGAAGTTTCAATAATAATTTATCTTTTTCTTTTTTAACAGACACTACTGTTATAAATTTGGATCATTGAACCTAACCTATGCTTGAAGCAAATTCTAGCAATGACATTTGAAACCAAAAGATTTTATAAAAATTAATTTGATCAAAAATTATGTGCAAGAAATAATGAACTGCCTCATCCTTTAAATTTAAGTTTGTTGTGCAATTCATTTTCAAAACTGTTAGACAATAACCAACGTCGCAAGTTATTTTTTTATTTTTATTTTATTTTTATATTTTATTATGAAACTACGTTATTTGAATTAAAAATTCGCCTACACATTTGGCATGATTACAAAATGCAGAAATCGTAATTTTATCTATTCTATTCATTCAGAAACCATAAAAACACAATGCCAAATGAGATTGTTTTTTTCTTCTGCTTTTTTGCTGTTGCCACGAAGCAGACAGATAATCCATTCTTACAACATTTCCGGTTCCACACCGCCAAGCTGGCAAATAAATACAGAGGCTCCTCATTTTAGTTCACAAATAAATAAATGAACAATAACGATATTTAAAAGAGAAGAATAAACGGCCAGCATGTGCGCGAGACACGCAGTCTGCTGCAGTTGAAAAACAAATAAAAATTACTAAGAAAAGCAGGATAGGAGGACAAGTTTTCCTAGAAGGAAAAATAATACGAGCATGATAAAACTATCGTTGAGCCGAAAAGGGCAATAATTACTTCAGCAGCTGCTGAAAGCCATTTCTTCCCTAACCGTCAGAAAGGGGGCAGATATATATATTAAATTCTTCACTTTTTTCTCTTCTAAAATAAAATGCAAAAATAATATAAAAGAACTCCATAGTCACAAAATAAATCCGGATAAATAGCTTGTTGATATTAATATACTATGCACAGTTAAATTTATAATTAATTTATTAAATAATTTTTTCAGCGACTTACTAAATATGTTAAAAAACGGCCTTTGCTGATTTTTTTTCATAAATATCATATCTTCATTACAAATTACCAATGCAGATATTAAATAATGTACTATATTACACTGTTAATTAAAGATGAAAAAAGATGCCTCAAATTTAACTGAATGCAAACTGATTAAGCGAACAAGGTCATTGTAAAAGCCGCTCTAATCGGCAGAGAGGTTAGCGATATTGGCAGCCGTGTCGGTGGTCCTAGGGTACGAATCCTGCCGAAGAAACTAATGTTTATAAAGGGTGTCCCAAAATTAACGCAAGATTTTAATTCAATATAAAAGAGAGTTTTAATCTTTAGATATTTATTTTTTAAGTGAATAATAACGTACATAGGATAGGGTTATTTATGGAATAACACATCGGGCAAATGGCCTCCACGGCTTTGCTGGCACATACGCACCCTTTCGTCGAAAATTTTCATGACCTTTCTGCATAATTGTGGTTGAATTTCGTTGATGCAGCATTTAATTTCCTCTTGTAATGCAGTGTGGTTGTGGGATTGTTGACATAGACCTTTGACTTCAAATAACCCCATAAGAAGAAATCTAATGGTGTTAGGTTAGGTTATTTAATTATAGCAAAGCACACTAGGGCTATCTGCTTAAGGGGAGGAATGCCTTCGTGGAGGACTTCCTATGGGAAACTGGCTCGTATACACGTTACACATGGGGAAAACCACGGAAACACCCATGCAGCCAGCCCGGTCACGGGATTCAAACCAAGGACCGAACTACCAGTGTTCAGCGACTTTACCGCTCTGCCGCCGGTGGGCCACTAATGGTGTTAAATCAAATGATCTAGAGGGCCAATTCTGATCACCGAAACGAGAGATTACACGATCAGGAAATGTCTCATGCAGTAATTGAATTGTTTCATTGGCTGTATGGCATGGGCACAGTCTTGTTGAAACCACACATTGGCCACATCATTTTCATGCAATTTCGGCAGAAAGAACTGTGTTATCATGTCGCGATATCAAGCACCATTAACAGTTGCTGCTTGACCAGCCTCATTCTCAAAAAAGTATGGTCCGATGACGCCTCCTGCTCAAAATCCGCACCAAACAGTGACACATTGTGGGTGAATTTCTTTTTCCCTAATCACACGTGACCCCAAACACGGCAATTTTGGCGATTAACAAGGCCATCGAGGTGAAAATGTGCTTCATCGCTTAGGATTATTTTGCTCGTCATGGTCATTAGGCTTCAGTTGGGTTAATTGAATTTTGTAAGCATGAAGACACAGATCTTTTGTGAGTTTATGCTGTAGAGAGCTTCTTGAAATTTGCAATCCTTGTCCACGACGCCGAATTGATGCTCCTGGGTTTTCACCAACTCTCACGCACTGCTTCAATATTGACATTTGAACGGCTTGTTTTGGGACGACCGATATGTTTAGCGTCTCCAACTGATCCAGTCCCCACGAATTTTTCAATTAATCTTTTCACAGTTGAAGAGGTTAAAACACTATTTTTACCATATTTTGTATAAAATTTTCGAACTGCGGCCGCCAAACTTTCATTATTTTTAAAATATTGTTCAATAATGAAGACATGTTGTTGTATCGTATAGCGCTCCATTTTCACTAACCCTAAACTCTCGGCTTTACAACTGTTCTTTTTTCAGGGTTGCCAACAACTTAATTCAAAAATGAAGCCAAATTCAAATCTTGCGTTAATTTTGGGACACCCTTTAGGTGTATAGTGTTTGGTGCAGCATAGAAGCAATTAATATATATCATAAGCCGAAAGCACTCTCATGTGGTTTGGTGATAGGGGAAGAACATCAGACCCTTGAACGTCCCCTGGAGCACTCTCCATCAAAATTAGGGTACAACTCGGCACAGTTCGCGACCTGTCAACTATATGGTTCTCAACGACGCAACGACAGACACAATCTGGCGATCCCCGCCTCAATAAATTTTGTGATCTTGTTCTGATTAGGTCGGACAAGTCAAATAAAGCACAACACATCACAATAAACAAAAAAAAAAAAAAAAAAAAAAAAAATATAGCAGTTTTTAAAAAAAGTGCTTTTGGATAAAGTTTGGGTGTTTCTGGAGAAAACTAATTCACTGCTTCATCTGGGATTGAAAAGAAACTGATTTAGATAACATAAAAATACGTTTTTTGGGGGAAGGAGGGACTTTTTAATATTTCTTGAAATTATTCATTTACATAATTTGTTCGCATTTTCTGTCAGTGAAAATATCAAACAATTAATTGAGTAATTAGTAAAGATAAGATCGAGCTATTTTCAGCGATTTAAATAATTTATATAATTTTAGTAAATATTTGAAAAAACGAGAAATGCCGTATTCTGGCGTGATAGATGCGTGTTGTAATATATGTATAGTAAACATAATCAACCGCGTGTATAAGCCGCATCTCAGATTTTCATCTGCATTTTTCGACACAAAAGGTGCGGCTTATACACCAGAGAATCGGTAAATCCTTTTAGGCACTTCCAAGGAATCACAAAGTCTTACTGCACATTTGTCTTACAAACTTGCACCTAACAATCCCATCACAAACACTCCTACATTCTAAGAATAGGTATGTAAAACTGGTCCCTTTTCTGCCAAATTCATAAGTATTTACAATATTTTTATAAATTCTAAGTAGTTAAAATGTACTTACTCACTTTTATCCCATACGCATACACAAAATAAATCATACAATGAATGATTCGAACATATAACTTTTTCCTTTTCCGTTTATACTTATAACGCCATTCATATGATTCCCCCCCCCATTTTAGAAATCGCATCCAACTTATTTGTCCAATTTAACATTTAGAAAATACGTCAATTCATACCTTATTCCTCAACATAAAACAAACACATTTATATAGCTTTATTTATATTCGCTTCAAGAATTGGTATTTAAACCACTTAATTTTCTTGCTTCCAGAAAATCTTCCAACAAACGAAAATATGTATATTATGATTATAATTAATATTATATTATATATATATTATACTGTCTTACAAACTAACTTTCAGTCACGTAGAAACGTCTTCAAAATATAAACTGGGTTAAATTTTATTCGAGGCAACATGGTAATTTAGTCTTTATTATTCATTATTAACGATTCTGCGTCTATAATTTTTGAAAGAATTATACACATTTTTTAATATATGGAACATTTACTCATCTGTTGAACTACAATAACAGCATGGTCTCACCACCACAACTCTAAAATCGTAGCTGTCATTAATCAAAAACTCCATCAATTGTCCAACAGGTGTTGAAAAGAACACCTTCCCCGAGAAAGCGCGTGGGTCGAAAGGCAAGAGTGCTTTCGGTCGTAAACGCCAAACGACATTAACCAGACAAAAGGGCAGCGAGCGTGGGACGA